GAAGAGAGAGAGAGGAGGGGGGGGGGTAATGAAGACATCCTGTGTCCTGTTAGACTTGTCTGAAATCTCCTCAAAGCTTCAGTCAGACACTGCTCAGCTTGACCACTGTGTCCATTTTGTCATAGCAAGTGCAAACACACTCACATTAACCAAACCTCAGCAGTGTCTGAAAAAAGATCTGGATGAAAAAGAAGACTGCAGATGTGAGAGAAAGTGCAAGTGTGATGATTACAAACATGAAAGATGTGTTGGATAAGCTGGTGCTGTGCTTGGAAGAAAGATTTTCTCGCACATCAGAAGATAAAGTTTTGAAGAGTGCAGGGATATTTGACAGGACAAATGTGCCTGAAACTCACAAAATGGATGAGTTGAAAGTATATGGTGAGACACAGATGGATGACTTGATAGCTCATTATGAGACTGTGCTTCAACACCAAGGATGCTCAACACTAAAAATAAAGAAAAAGTGTCTCGTGTTTCTCTCCGAAAGTCAGGGCTTATTACCTCTGAGAGAGAACAAGACAAGTCTTGAAAAAAGCAAGGAAATTTCCCAATCTGTCATATGTAGCTCGTATAAGCCCTGTTTTCTTTGAAGAGGCGCATCCTTGGTGACTGAAGGCATTTGCTTTCCAGAGATATGCTTGAAAAAATCATGCTTATATGTCCCAATGGTTCTGAGATCAAAGAATTCAACCCAGAACCCTGCATTGCCAAGTGGCAAGAGATGTGTCTCACAAATAGATGTCCTGATAATACAGCACTATTCCCTGAAATCATCTTCTCTGGTGATACTTTTTAAAATCACTTGTGTTTTCCCATAAGGGACAAACAGTAAGCCAGTCTTTTTCTATATTGTGTGTGCCAACATATTTTCAATGTTCTGATCACCTAGTGATTTACTTAGTTTTCATTCATGACTTTACAAATTTTCCGATAACTCTATACTTTTGTTGAGAGCAAGAATAAATTGTATTGTTATTTATATAAAGGTTGTGATGCATGATCCAGTATTACCAATTTTAATCAACAAAATGATCGCCTATAATTTTTGCCTTGGTGCCCTAGAAAATTGCCTCGGTGCCCTCTGATTTTTAGGCCCCACCGAGGCAATTTTTGCCTGCCCTCCTGAACACCTAATTCTAGCCCTGCACCTGTCTTAGATGGCCACCTCTCTCACGATTTGTCATAAATTAAGTACTGGCCCCTGACGCTGTGGACGAGCCGTCATATTCCAACCACCTGTCCTTTTTGTAAGGTAGTCCCTCCTACCAATCATGTTGCATAGGCCCCTCTCACTGTTGACCAATAGGTAGCAATAAATTTTCATCTGCTGGTGAGGTAAGCGGGTGATCCCTCATAACCTAGAAGCCCCGCCCAGAACTCATACACAAATCATGAGTGAGATGAGTGGTCACTGTTTACCCAGTCTGCAACATAGTAAAAATGGACGTCAACATGAACTTGCAACAGAAGCGTCACTCGTTCTTCGAGTGGTGACGGCCCTTGTGTTTGTTTTACCATTGCACTCGGTCTTCCTCATCTGACACATTTCGTTTTATTGTCACCCTTGCACAAAATCAGCAACAAAATAAACAAACAAAAAACAAGCCAATAGAAGTAAGAAAAACAACAACAACAATGCAGCTACCTTCGGCTGAGACCTCAGAAGGGAATGGTTTGTTTTTTTCATTTTAATCAATCCTTTTCTTTCATTTTGATCAATCCTTTTCGTTCAGTCCTGCCTAAAACAGCCGCCTGTCTTAGACAGCCACTTTTCTCCCTGACAATGGGTGGCCATCTTACACCGGTTTGACTGTACTAGAAAGTTGAAAATGGGAATAGCCAGTTCTGTTGAACTCTTTAGCGATGTTTTACAGCTTTTATTTCAAGATCGCCTTCCATTTCAGATATGGTGTTTTTTAACTCATTCGCTACATATTATTTTCGGCTTGTGGACAAATTTTTTGCTGGAGGGCGAATGAGATGATGACTAGTGGGCAGTTAAAAGGTCTTTGGGGCCACAAATTCAAATAAATATCAACATATTATATACCAATATTTTCAGTATGGTTTGTAGAACATTTCTGTAATGTTTATTTATGTATTTTTCAACTTTGGTTCCTGTTAGAAGCGATTATGCAACACAATTTTGATTGGATGCTGATGAAATTTGAAAATTTAAAAAAAATTTAATCTTTGGTGAAACTCAAAAAATATGTTTGCACCTAGTCAAATGATACATCAAAATAACCATAAATGAATATAGAACTGGAAAATATTGAAAAGTTTGCAGTTATTTACATACATTCCATAATATTTGTACATTTGGATCATAACATCCGATATTGAAAAAAAAAAAAAAAATTTATAATCTTGAAAAACGATAACAAACAGAAAAAAACCCACTCGTATCTTATATGGAATTATTCAGAATTGCATTTGGAATAAACCTATATGTGTCTTGAGTGGCACTTTTTGTGTAATTTCATCAAAAAGTAGTGATTTTGGGGAGAAAAAAATATTTTGACAATTTAGATCTAGACCTAGATCTAGCACTCAAAAATATTAATTTCTCAATAACAGTGCATTGGCTATATGAGTCCAATCGTATCAATATGATAAAAAAGAGTCCTACATTTCTTTAGTGGGCAAAATAATGAAAGATTTTGTTGTGTAAAATTACTAAGACTGGTGTCCAGGCTATAATTTTGACATCGCGATAAAACAAAGTTGAATAAACTACGAAATCACGTTTCAAAACTGAATCTAAATTTCCGATTTTCAGTGGAAATGCTTGACCCAGAAGTCAACATTATATTATGACCTTTATTTTAACATGGATATGTGGATTGGAATAGAATCTAAGCCAAAATTGAAGATCGGTTCTCGAGCCGCTGAGTGCGGCTTAGCGTACTGACGGCCCTTTAGCCGCGCTGCCCCCCACAGCTCGCCGTAGCGAATGAGTTAAAGAGGTAAAGTTGTCTCTATATAACAATGAATATAATCACATGAAAGAGAAATTGTCATTGGGTTTTGAATCTGCTTTCATTTTTACAAAGGTAACGAAAAGCACAAAACTTTTATAGACTTGCTTTTATTTTGACATTGTAAATAGTTACAAAGTGTGATCTATCTATAAAAAGGATAGTGTACACAGAACACTCTTTTCCTTGTTAGCTGAAGTGTTTCTGAAGGGAAGTTTAGTTCAGAAGTGTATTATGTAATGTATTGTTCCTATTCTAACCTGCAATATGATAAATGCGTTAGTCATAAATTTCCTCCTTCCAACTATGATAGTACTTTATTTATCCTCTGTAATGGATACCAGTCAGTAGAGAAAGAGTTATGTATAACAAAAAGAACGACTTGGGCATTGTGGAATGTGGCCATGAGTGTTCTGATTTGGTTTCCTTACAGGCACTAGTGGACCTCAGCTGGTCCCTAGCAGATCTTCTGATGTTGGTCAGAAAGTGTCACGCTTCAGAAGTATGTTGAGCAAGATTCCTGTGGATGTCATTTCCTACGGCATCATTTTCCACCCACAGTTGTCAGGGGGAAGGTGTCAGCTGCCTTTGGCCATCCAGAGAAGTATGAGAGGTCAGTTCTCGTAGTCATGGTTACCCTGAAAGTGTGCAAGGTGTGATATTGCTCCTCTTAATTATGGTTAGTTAGGTCTGATTTTGCATAGGTGCTAAAGGAAATTTTTTGGTGATGCATAATTTCAGTGCAGTTACTTTTTATTGATGTGTCGTAGTCATGTGTTTTTATTTGTACTCATTGTCATGTTTAGTTTTTGCCGACATTTTCTGCTGTTGCCATTTTTTAACTTTCTCAAACCTGAATTATAATTGCCAAGATGAAACTGTTTGTAAATGGAAGTAATTCAAATCCTATAAATAAATATACTTCAGGCACAAATGGCTTTGTCCTTATGTGAAAAGCAATTGACTTGCTGTGTTAGTTTAGTTTAGTAAGAGTTTTACGGCGCTCGCAACTGCATAAGATCATATGAGCGCTCGAAACAAGTTGGTTGCATTCACAACAGTTCACTGCAGGATTTGATTTTGGTCAATATTTATATTAAAGTGTTAAAAATTCGTGATAAAAAAATTTCTTATTGCGATGTTAACAAGTCGTTGGTTTAGTTTTCTTGGGGTAAAAATATTTAACTTCTTTCATCCTCAGAGAACTTTGCCAACCGTTTACGGTACTTGATTACACTGTCCACTGTTTACCCCGACCTAAGAGATTGCTACCTGGCCAAGAGTCAGACTGCTGCTGAAAAATATGACCTCATCACCGACGAAGACCGTGTCAGAGGTCAAATAGATCAGCTGGATGGCTTCTTGAATTCAGTGGAGGAGGAACTCAGAGAGAAGTACGGTCTTGAGGGTAAGAATGCTGTTAACACATAAGAGATGAACTGGCAGTTAGAAAACAAACAAAAAACCAGGTCTGTCCTGACTAATTCAGAATCGAAGCATGTTCTCTAAAGATGGAGATTTTGTATGTCACAAATATCTCCTTACGAGTCATAGAGATAAAAGAAATTGAATAAATGTGTCACGATGCGGTGGAAACAGGCGCTCGTCTATTTTTTGGCATATGGAGTTTTTGGTATCAACTTAAAGCCTGTTCATTTGCCTTTCTTTCTGTGAAAAAAAATATCCATCTTTGTTGAATAGAAGTCAAAATATTTGCTATTGAAGGAGATCAGGGTCGCCTGATTTCAGAGGTAACATTAGCGAGGAAATGGCAGCCAAAATTTGGTAACTTCCATAGCCTGAGAGTCCTTGGAAACTGAAAATTTATATTTTTTTGTGTCTTTAACCCTATCTGTACGCCGTGGGCTCATTTTGTACCCCCAGGGCTGTAATCTTCACAATTTAAAATACTTTTAGGGTGAAGATCTCTTTGAAATTTTCAGTATTTCTCAAAAAATTATTTTGACAGACTGCTATCAAAGCATACGGATCGGATTAACGAGTAAACTTCCTCTTTGAAAGTGGTGGCTCAGAGTTCCCCACATCGTATGGATACGATAGTAAAACATGACGTATGGATAGGATTAATCAATTTTTTCAGTAAAATCCACACAAAAATGTGTTTTTTAATGGGCATAAAATATGTTGAGCCAAAAAAAAGAAAATTAGAAAAAATTGCCGATCAGCCAGAAAAATGCCAATTTCTTTTATTTCATTATTGTGGCGAGCTCCTGATTTCACCACAATGCCTCACAAATGGTTCCATCAGACAGACATGTTTTCATAATACTGTAGTCTCCACCTAAGATCCCAGTGCTCAGGAGCAAGGAAAATGGGGGATCTTAACTCACTGAGACACTGAGCACCACGCCCCGATTTTCCTCCAAGCCCCATTTCCCCCACTTTTTGAAAATTCATTAAAAAATGAAATGAAATGCTATTTCTTTGAAATTTTCTGTGCTATTTAATAAGATATGGGTTCAACAGACACAATAAATATATTTTGTGATGAATGAATGACGAAAAGATGTATGGGACAGAAAGTTGGGTTAAATGTGCTCCAGAAAAAACATTTGGAAATAAAAAAGGAAATGATGTGGCAAAGCAGAAATCTAATAAACTTACACAAAATAGTTGTGCAGTGTGTGTTTGTGTGTAAGAGAATGAAGCATGAGTGTGTACAGTGAAGTTGCATAACAATGTAAGTGATAATTAATTTAGAAAAATTGTTAAAATATAGATCTAGATCTTCCTCGGTGACAGGCTGAGAAGTGTTTTCATTGTCAGCGCTGCTAGTGCTAGGACTAGGTCTGTCAATAGATGTCCCAGGTCTGGGTAAATATATATCTTCTCCACTTTGAGGGCTGATTTGAACTAGAGTTTAGTACTGGGACTAGATCTATCGTCATCCTTAGCCGGACCAGTCTGCGTACTCGCTGACAAGTCAAATTCACGATCGAGAGACAATGTTGGCCTAGACCTAGATCTAGAGGTCTAACATAATTTTCTCAGTCATCTTCATCACTGCTAGGCAAATTCACATTTTGATTTATGAAGTTTTCTATCTGATACTTCACTGTCACTTAAATCTTCACCCAAATTATCAAGAGTTTCTATAAACTTTGACATACCTCGCCGTGCCATGCTTCGCGTACGAGGAACAACAATGAACTGCGCGGGAGTTCCTTACTTTCAGTTGTTCTGTCCGTTGGAAAAATAACCTGTTTATTCCACAGCGCCGAAAACTGGCCGAAATCGTGCCTCTTAGTTTCCCAGGCCAGCGACATCTGGAAGTCATTAAATCACTATCGGAACCGCTCCGTGCCGGGTTACGCAGGGGTCACTGGCCGCTCCGTTGCGCATCAGCTACAGGCAGGCAGGTCATGGCGTAATCGACACTTTTGACACTAAATATCGGCAGTATCCTCACTCTAACCACGAAATATTCCATACTATAAGAAAAGAACAAGATTCCCCCTCTCAGTCTGCGAAAACCCGATCTCAATGCGACGATATGTGCCGATGTTACAGTGTGTGCAAAATGTTCTGAATTTCATCGAATTTAATATGTGTGTGCTGCACTTAATTCACTTTTAATTTCCAAAGTGCTCGCTCAATCTCAACAAATTTTGGTACATGTACTGATGATATATTTGTGCTTTACGTGTATAATTTTCGTCATTGTTTGAAGAATAGTTCTTGCAATATTAAGTCGCTTACATCTGATTCTCATCCAGGGCCTTGTTAATTGACCCGTCCAATTGTGTATTCTGGATTCTATGCAGTTTTAAGTTCAACACTTCTCCGTGAATTTCATAGATTGTTAGTTCTATGAAAGGCAGACATATTTGTGCTTAATGTGTATAAATTTCATCTTCGTTGATTGAGCCGTGTTACGATATGAGGTAGAATCCATCTGCCCGGGATTCATTTCTAACAGGTTTACTGAAATCTCCCAATGAAACACACACACAGGAGACATTCCTCCTCCCTGAATGAACTTTGTCGCGTTTGCGGGTGTAAGAACGTGACTAAAGTACAACAGAGGCTGATAAGAAAGGCTAGGACATTTGAGTCACTGCCAAGAGATATTTTATCATTGTTGACAAAGCGCACTCTATAGGTTTGATTTTCGACTCTCTCAACCGAGCATACAGTCAAATTTATAATGACATCTCACACAGTGCACCTATTCAGAAAACCTCTATTCCAGGAATTCAGACAGCAATAGACACGTACATGAAGCTGTACAGAAGACATTTTCCCAAAAAGAAAATCCACAAACAGCGCAATTTAGAACAACACTGCATTCCATCCATAACACAACACAGCTTTGGCTTGGACCGGCTGGGAGAAAAGAAACCGAAAGCTGCCACCCGTCTATTTTAAAAATTGAAAAGTGGGTTCAAGGCATCGTAAACAATACGGAAAAACTACGATACTTTATGAACCAGAGAGCATCCTCACTGCAGGCACCGAGAAAACAACCACGACGCCATAGATCTACTGTACAAAATGTGTAAAGAGATCTGTGTCATTAATTTAATGAAGGATACTGTAATGAGAATTTGATCACAAGCCCGACGAATTTGGCTGTTGAACGAAAATGCAAAAATGTGGATTACTAATCTTCCAACAAGGATATCCTTTAGTAAGTAGATACCCACATTAATTTTCTTTATTCTGAGCAAGTTTTAGTGAATTTATTCCCGTACTTTGGTAGTTACATAACTTTAATTCGGTTCATATTACCTTAATTGGCACATATAAGACGGCTGTATTTGATCACATGCAGTTAAAACACTATACAAGATATCTTCGTTCCGTTTTCACAAACTGTACATTAAAAGAAGAAACTCAAAGATGGAACACTATGTGTATATTGATAACCCTGCTTTCATTCGTGAGCGTTGAAACAAAACTGTGTAAAATTGCCGTGGTATGTAACCCCGCGCGTGGAGTGAGCGCAGGTAGACTGACCGGCAGCTGACCCAGGTCACGCTGACCTAGCAGCGTACGGCCTGGCGAAACTAAACGACCGCTGATTCGGCGCTGTGATTCACACTTAAAGTGGTGAATATACACAAACCCCAAAGAACTACCTTGTCAATATCCTGTTTAAACCACAGGGGCTATTTGCAAGCATTTTTAAACTGCTGGGTTTACTTTATAGTCAATTCTTGTTGAACCCACCAGACCACGTATGCTGCGGGAGCGGTGCTCAGTGAGTTAAGCAAACAGGATCTTAGCCGACAGACCAAGGGAAGAATCTACGGTGACCCATGTTAAGACCCACAACCGGTAAAGTGGTCTCACTCCACTCTAAAATGAAGTGGCATGACCCCTGTATGAGTTTATGACATATTCTAGCAAGTAAAGAGTGGTTAACCTTGATGACCAATCACAGTGGCATGAGGTGCTATTTACACTTATTATCCATCGTGAGTCTCAAGTTCTACGCTTATCCAGTTGCTCCTCTGCTTCTCTTATCTGTCCAAAATTTATAGCTTTCCATCTCTAATTGAGTTCCCCGGCCATTGTCATTATGCACCATTGCGATTTGACCACACCAATTGTTAGTCTGTCTCGCTAAATTACTGCTGCAATGGTCAGGGAAGAGTTGGCAGTTCAATGTGATCCCGTCTGGTGCAAATGTGTAGGCTTTACCCTCCCAGCATGTGATGTTAGTTTATGTGGAGAGCTCAGAAGTGAGTGCAATGTTTGGGATAAACAAACACGACGGTCAGTTCGCGCCTTGGTGTGATCCCGTGTGGGGCAGATATTGTTCCGTTTTATCGAGTTTTACAATGCTTATGTGGTCACATTCAGGAGAGTGGCTAATCTTTGACGTGACGGGCAGTTCAATAATCTGAATTTTTCACTCTTGGTTGATCGGCTGTTTCCGTTTGGGATCTAAGCCGATTGTAGACCTTCAGAGTGAATCGGAGCAGGATCTAAGGGGTGACTTTTGTATAGTAAAAATTATGTTATCTTAAAACAGCGGGAACTTAGGTGAACTGGGATCGTAAGCGGTGGGATCTTAGGCAGAGACTACTGAACTATCATACTATCAGTTCTTCACTCTGAGTTCATAACACCCCAAAAATTATGTATCCTGTGAAAAGATGTTTCCAATGGTCTGAGCTTTGTTTATAAATCTTCTGTCAGTGTTAATGATAATATTGTAATCTTAGACATACGACTATGACTGAATATGAAGGGATATTCTCAGGAATCCAAGCTACTCTCAAAAAGATGACTTGTACAATTTGTTCTTTCAGAGGGTTCAAAGCAGAACCAGATGTTCCTGTACGGGGAATCTCTCACAGTGGCAGACATTGGCCTCTACGTTCTCATCACTCGCCTGCAGATCCTGGGACTGCTCCCTCAGAGCGTTCCTTCGTCACGCTACCCGTTGATCCATCGGCACTTTACGCTACTCTCCGCCCGCCCTTCCATCGGTAAATTGCTGGACGAAATGTCGAAATTGCGATATACGCTGCTGCTGGAAGACATCAAAGCTTCTGGTTCCTATGTTGCCATAGCCCTGGGGGCAGGTCTCGTTGTTTTAGCTGCTTATTATTTGGTTAAGAAACTGAAAAGGTAGATTTATTTTTTTCCAGGAGTCGGAACTATTTTGGAGGTTGTGAATGTAGACCCATAACTTCGAGGATTAGTAAATATCCAAGTCCATCTGTTAAATCAGTCTGTCTTTCTATCATAGTTACTTCAAGGAGTCGCTTTTTTTACATCTTTTGGAGCATGCTGCATTATGTTTAGAAATACATGCAAAAGTTGGAATCAAATGTACGAGAAAGAAAAATGTAAATATAAGTTAAAAGCTTGAAAACTTGCTGCCTAATAAAAAGCTCTTTTTCATTCGTTAAAAAAAATTCCTGAAAAAAGTGTTCATCAACAATGGTTTTATGGTGTAGAATTAGCTTCACAGAAAGCTGCAAGTCTATCCATACACCTGCGTCTCAGACTTTCATGTTGTGACCAAAGTCGATATTATGTGGTATGAATTGCAGTGAAGAAAATATTGGATATCCCAAACAGTTCACTGTATGGCAGAGTGACTCACAGTGTTGTAGCAGTCTCAGGTTCAAACTCTAAAATGATTAAAGTTTTAAGGTGCCTATAGAGCGACTTTATTATTTCTCTTTGCATATGTGTCATTTTCATCATTTTTAAAGCTGTAATATTCTTCACAAGGAGCTTTGTTGATGAGGAATGTGGAGTTCTTGATTATACTGTTTTGTATGGCAAACCTTGCTCTAAATACCCCAATTTTGATGATATAGAAGCAACATATTATGTTAGAAAACAAGACTTATTTTAATGTGTCAAAACAGTAAACATTTACAAATGCAAAGTGGGAAATCACATTAAATGAAACATAGTGCAGGAATGATCTGCTTTTTGCTTCTCTTGAAAAGTTGTGCTTTTGAGATATGATTATTTTTCTCCTCTCCCCTAGATTTAGCCATCAGAAGCAAGGAAGTTTGCTTAAGAGAAGACTCGAATCTCTTATACATGATGTATACTTTTTTATACTTTACATGTATTTTTAGTCTCTTGTTCATCTCTTTTTTCTTGCTTTATAAATATTTTACCTCTCAAGCTTCATGTGAGATTATGCATTGAAGCATCTTCGCATAATACATGCAATCTGTTTTAAAAAAACCAGTTTCGTGTTATCATTGGGTATTGTTGTGTTTGGATGATTTTTGCATTACTCTTACTCTAGTTATCTAAGCCATTTTAACGAAAACTCCTTTACAGTTTTGATTCTGTGAAAGACAACTTTAAGTTGTTTATATTCCTTTGTCTGTGCAAATAAAAGCGAAGAAATACAATAGACTTTATTTAATACAATGCAGTTTAATGCAAAATTTATGTTATCGCAAAAGGATTTTGAATCCCCTTTTTGTTCCACCTCTTTATTTGAAGCATTGCAACTTAAAAATCTGCTTAACACAAAGAAATCCTTTGGTCCCGTGAAGTTGATGTTATCAACGTTTTACGGTACCTTTTTCTGCTAGTCTGTTTCAATTGTCATAACAGTTTCTGATGTAGTGGACTGTTATTTGTCTTGAGTCTTAAAGAAATGATTGGTCCAAAAACTTTTGGAGGCAGCTTTTTTTACTTAATTATTCTTGCCAAATAAAAACACCTCAAAGACTTTGATTATTTTTTTAATTAGCAGAAATAGCTTAGTCAATAGTTAAATAGAAAGTCAAATGTACTGTCTTTGATATGTAATATATACAGTTTTTACCAGTGAGATTGGCATGTACCAGCACTTGTAATGTTACCTCCAGTTCTGGGGGGGGTTTTCAGTGTTTTTGGAGTTTTGGGTTATTTCCTGAAAATTGTCCTGTTACATTTGAAAAGATGCTGCAGATTCTTGCATGTGCAATTCACTGATCTTACATTTGGTGACATATATTTGTTATTTATTGTTATTATTGAGTATGAAACGATGAAAAGGCGTACACTGTAGAAATATGTGGATGTATCTGATAGACCTAAGAAAATGGCCCAAAATGACCAGGTTTGTTTGAACTGCAGTATGTTTGTATAAGGTTTGAACTGATATATCTAGTATTAAGTTCTTTAGTTCAACTCTCGTTTTTTAAGGTAGTTTCAATCCTTTAGCCAACCAAGGGAAAGGTTTGCCCAGTGATGCCATCGATGGGCAATGCAGGGAAAGGAGCACTTTGTCCCTTTTACATCTTACTGGTACTTTTTCAGTGATGCTTTTGTATTGCATGTGTCCTGAAGAAAAAACGATTTTTGTCATTCTATACTTCTTGAGAATGAAAACAATCATGAAACTTGCAAGTATTTGTCGTAGAGGTGACAGAAAGGTTCTATTGACTCTGTTGATTGTTGAGAGCAGGTGGAAGGAGAGGGGGAGGGGGATGTCTGATCTATGGATCCAGAATTAGCTCACTGGTAATTGCTCACCCATTTGTGTTTACCTCTGGTGTCAGTTGGCTTTGTTGACGAGCAAGACCTGCTCTGTCCATTCAATGTACAGTGAAGTCTGCTTGTAATAAACTGGGATGTTGTGATATTTCTCCTTTATGAACTACGTACGGTACCTAGTTCTTTGTTCAATGTTTTGCATTTCCGTATATATAGAAGTGTTCAAGTAAATCTTGCAATTAATATGAAAGCCTGTTTCAGTTAATTAAGTCTACAACAAGTTGATGCGTCTGCAGATTTATATATTATTTTTTCTTTGTTGACATTTAACGGGTGCTATTAATTGGTAATTATTGTTTTAACATTCTTATGTTGTATTAAAACTTACATTGCTTGTGTTCAATTTTCCACAGTTGTCTTCAAATTAGTTGTTTAACCCTCCAAGGTAGCTGGAGCTTTTGTTCACTAGCTGCTTTTGAAGTAAGAGCAGGTTTCAAGTGATTCAAAGAAATAAATACAGAACATAACTTTGAAAGGTACGCAGTGGAAAATGGGATGGATTTGATTTTATGAACAGACTTGAGATGGGTATGAAGAAACTGAATCATTGTGAACATCTTTTGACTTTTTTCATAAGTTTTCAAACCATTAAGATTTACTTTTGATACGATTTTCTTTTCCATATACCAATCTTTCAATTATCTGTTGAGAAAGGAAAATGCAATAAAATTCACAGTTTTCCTTATAAAAGCATTAGATGAAAGCCTTGTTTTTGCTGCGCGTGGCTTCAGTAATTGTTTATTTTTATTACTAGCTTAGCAGTGAAGGCTCTGCCTTGTTTACACGTTGGTAACTTGTGAGATACCGAAAACAAAACTTGTATCTTTTCTGCTGCATAATATAGCCTCTCAAAACCTCTTCTTAAAACTGAAATGTTCATGGGGTTTTTTTGGTCTTGTTCAGACCTGGTGTCTCCATACATGAAAACAGAAATGATAGCTTTGGACGAAGCTAATTTTTATTATGTTAATGCAGCGTCCTTAATTTCAAAAGAATGATTTGAGCATCAGAAGGGTTGCTGTTCTGTGGGCTGTCTCAAGGAGTGATCTTCTATGGGGTACGACCTTTTTGCCAACTTTTATATCTTTTGACCTTTGTTCCATAGGTGTTCTGGAAAAATGCATGCACGACTGAGCATATGAATGTATAAAATGTTTGCTTGGGATTTTGTACTGCCACCACATGGGCGGCATACTTTTGCCTGAGACATTCCTCACTAACTCAGATACTCAATTAGAGCTGGCTTTTAACAGACACAATACAAGCTGATATGGTTGCTTTTGTTTAGAATTAGAATAGATGTTGAAAGGATATAATTAGGCTTTTTTGTTGTTGATTTTTAGGATGCGAATATGTTGTTTCTCAATGCTTGTAACTCTGAACGAGTCTTTGTTGCCTCTTTGATATGTCTGTGTTGTTGAATTGAATTGACATTTTGAAAAAAGTGGGCTTGACAATGGCTACTAATAGCCTATCAAAATGGTGTGTGAGATGTGAGAGAATGTGGTCGATATAATTGTAATGTACTCTAACTTCCAAGGGTTCCTTTTGCAGATAGTGGTTTTCAACCTGAAAGTAAAAGGTGGTGTATGTTCACATGCTGACCATTCAGTTTTCAGCAAAAGTTTTCAGTCTGGTGAAGAGCTGGGTTCCAATCTAATTTATGACGAGTCAGCCTGATAATGGCTGCATTACATCAGGAACTGATTATTTTGACTTTAGTAATACTGAAAGGAAGTAGAACGTGCAGATGTTCCGGATCCTTCACTATTGTGATCACTAGTAAAGTAGACGTGAAATTATATTGTTATCTCCTACTGGCTAAATTTTTGGTCGTGTGTCGAATGGTTTCCCTGATCTTCTCACGTAATGCCTGCTCTTTGTAGAAGCAACTCAACATGTGCACTAAAGACTACATGGTCTTATTGTCAGTTTATCAGTTCGTGACCTCCGTGCTTTCTTGTCCTATCTCCATTTTTAAAATTTAAAATGTGACTTCTTAAGCTCACTCTTTGTTATGATGAACTGTTTTCACTGTTATTAAAAATGGAGATAGGACAAAAAGAAAGCACTTACGTCGAGAGTTGCTGGGCTTGTGCCCTTTGACCCACTGCCACGTTTAGGTGGATCGAGTTCTCTGTCAGGTAAATTACACCACGTAGGATATTGAAATTAAAAGCCAAAGGAGGCCATCTCACAGACAGGGGTTTGGACTAGGCAGGGATCCAACACACAGTGAAGTCCGCTTTAAAAAGTTAATCCAAGATCTGCTGGACCAGCAGAATTTCTTGTTTAGCTGGCCAGGTTTTCGATTTAGAGAGGTTGCTCAAATAGGAGAAAAAAATCTGGGACTTATTTTCTTTTGGTTCACCACTATTTTGGGATAAACTATTTTTGGTTCAACTTCAAGTGGACTCTTCTGTAATGTGGATTTGCAGTATAACACAGAGAGCTCGAATTCATTGAGACCAGCCTCGGTTGTTCGAGGGATCCGTAGTTCTAGGTATATCTACAAAGATAAAGAAGAAAAAAACCCAAGACCACAAGCACAGTACTGTTCGAAGGATGCATGATTTCCATGTCTTCTGTGTTCGATCTATCTGTGTTATACTGTATTTAAATAATAATAGGAGGATTTTGTTTGTTCACATCAAGGAGAATGTAGGAGACTACTGCTAAGGGATGCCCCCTGGCTACATCCGCTCTAAGCACAGGTGTGAAAAGTTCTAGTCATTATCACTCTTAAGTTTCTTGTTCAGTCTCCACAGTAAAATTAGGTACCTCTTGTTGAAGCTTTACTGCCCCTACTGTACTTTTTCTAGAATGTCCCAATCGTTTTTATTTGCGATATTCCATTTTTTATTTTTATTGATGGTCGATGTTTCTACACACCAGTTTACTCACACTTTGCATGTTGCTTACTGATACTACGTAAATGTGCTACATACTTGGAATGTTTTTTTTCTTTAGCTCAACAAAATAAAGTTATTAGTTGAATTCAACTAGCCTGTGATTGTTGTCTCGCTTTGTCGCTGTGGATCACGAAGCTTGCTTTTTGTTCCAAAGCATCTGAACTGATTCCTGATCAGTTCAAGGAGAGTGGGTGGTTGATGGGCGCTCTGTTAGATTTTGCTCCATCTTTTCTATCAAACATCAGTCATGATTATCTTTCCTCTGTTTATTTGTTTGAATGTCACTCTCTAGTAGCATCTTTTTATCTTTTGAATTTATACTATACTAGCTGAGCCCCCTTTCGTTGAAAGGAATGATCGGTGTATTAACATCAACTGAAAGTCATTGGCCTACTATATAAATTACACTCTACGGGAATGGAGCAATAAATCTTGAGAGAAAAGTGACACATGTGTTTCCAAGTTGCCAAATATAATAGATGTATAGATTGATTCTCTATTTCGCTTTCGTGGTTGTACACTCCATAATTTCAAAGGTGTGGAACCAATGTGCACAGCTGGTGAACGTAAACTTCACTTGTTTACAATGGCGTCTTAGAAGACGGACTTTCCCAAGATTAGATCTAAACGAAACTAATGAAAAACTGAAAATTAAACTACAGTGACTTCAGGCTCTTCAATAAAACTGTGCACCCTTTAAATGAATCTGAACCACGATTAATTTTTTTCATATTCGAAAGTTAAGTGGTTCGGAAATTTAAGGCAGCCAAAAAAGCAAACTTTCACAAATATAAGTATAGATTATTTATAATTTATATATATATATATATATATATATATATATATATATATATATATATATATATATATATATATATATGGGTGACCTTATTTAGGCCACATATGGCCTAAATAAGCTAAACCCCCCTCCCTTACCTTATTTGGGCCACAGGTGGCCTAAATAAGCTAAACCCCCCTCCCTTACCTTATTTAGGCCACACATGTGGCCTGAATAAGCTAAACCCCCCTCCCTTACCTTATTTAGGCCACATATGTAGTCAAAATAACCAAACCAATGTAAAGCATTGTTTTCTTTAGAAGTTACATTATTATTTCTTTAAAACTCTTCACATCCATTTTCCTTCACAGCCGTATCGTACATGACATGTGATGTAGAATCAATTTAAGGTCCTTGGAAAGGTGACCAGAAAATAACAAAATTATTTTGCACTTGCAATTTTTTGGACAAATTAAAGTCTACCTAATTATATTTTTTTCCCCTCATTTTTCTTCACTATAAATGACAACTGGCATGTATTGTTTACAGTTATTATCAAGAAAGTGGATAGGCGGACTACGGGGTCTATCTAGCCAAAAGGATAGGTGGACCCCAGGGTCTACCTAACAAAATGTTAGGTTTTAGGATGTGAACCCTGGAGTCAGCGTAGTGAAATAAGTAGATCTAGGTTTAACTAAGGATCGGTGGACCCCGGGGTCAACATAATGAAATAAGTAGATCTAAGTTTATTTTATAATAGGACTGGCGGAGCCCGTGGTCAAAGTAGTGAAATTATAAGTAGATATATAGGTTTAATTAAGGATTGGAGGAACACGGGGTCAATGTAGTGAAATCAGTAGATCTAGGTTTAATTAAGGATTGGTGGACCCTGGGGTCAATGTAGTGAAATAAGTATATGTAGATAGATCTAGGTTTAATTTTAAGGATTGGTGGACCCTGGAGTCAACGTAGTGAAATAGGTAGGTTTAAGGTGGACCCCAGGGTCTACCTAACGAAACACTAGTTAGGTTATAGAATAGGTGGATCCTGCGGTCACCGTAGTAAAATAAGTAGGTTTAATCAAGGTGTCCCGGGGGTCCACCAATCCTTAATTAAACCTTCTTAATCCTCTATGGCTATGGTGACTCCGGGTTCCACCAATCTTTAAAGAAACCTACTTATTTCACTGCGGTGACCCCAGGGTCCACCTGTCCTAAAACCTAGTACCAATCCTTACTTAAACGAAACCTTATTTCACTACGGTGACTCCGGGGTCCACATCCTAAAACCTAGTATTTCGCTATGCAGACCCCGGAGTCCACCTATCCTCTACAGGACTATACTATTATTATCAATTTGCAATTTTCATTGATTAGCATTTTTTTTTAAATATTGAATCAGAGTGCAGGGGAGACCGAGGCACCCGGTCGATTCGGTGGTCGGCTTTTGTAGATCTATGCATTTTTTACGGAAAGCCGTATTACCTAACCCTATTACTAGATCTATTAGTGTTGTGAAAACTTCAACCTCTACAGCTCAGGCGTCAAAAGATGCTGGTAAATAATAATAGATCTACGTCCTGAAGTTTCATAATTTATTTTTATACAGAATAACACAGCACACAGTCAGTAGTTTTTATTTCATCGAGTTATAAAAATGGCCTTCGTATAAAAATTGCCTTGTTTTCAGAAGCAAGTTTTAATAGTTCTAGTTCTACCTAATCGATTTTCACGCGAATTCAACCATTTTGATGATCTTTCTTTTCCTTTTAAAAAGATGTAGATCTAGGCCTGTCGGATGTGGCAGTGCGAATAGCACTGAGTTGTTTAGATCTAGATCTAGATCTAGACCCATCAAAACACAAGGCTTCGTGGCCGATCACAAAAGTCTACGGGGCTTATCGAGGCCGATTCGCCCTGCCGCGAGCACGTTCACTAAACTGCCTACTAGATAGAATCTACTACCAAACATTCTCTACACGATCTTTGCTACTACTACTACTAGGCCTACTAGCCTACATGTACTACTACGAGACAGTACGAGAGAGTGTCACTCAGGCAAAGATAGTGTAACTTTGACTCAGCCACGTAGTATACACACTTTTTAAACCCCAAATTTAACCCGGAAGTCCATTCGGAGGATTTGACCTTTTCACTTGACCAAAATGTGCCAAAATGGTAGCCTAGCTTTTGCCCCTCCATGAAGGAAAAATCCGGCCCTCATTCAAACCATTGGAATTGAGCAAAATTTTGCGTATTGTGCTTTGTTCTTTACAATATTCATTATGGTTATGATTTATAAGTTGTACACTGAGGCAAAACCATACTAAATGAGAAAGGTGCACCATTATGAAAGTGGAATGAACTCAGTTGCCTGAAAAGGGTAGTTTGAGCATGTGTGGCCTAAATAAGCTAAACCCCCCTCCCTTACCTTATTTAGGCCACAGTCCACTGTGGCCTAAATAAGCTAAACCCCCCTCCCTTACCTTATTTAGGCCATATGTGGCCTAAATAAGCACTCCCTATATATATATATATATATATATATATATATATGACCTAATTGTGTTGCAAGTACCATAAAACTCTATCTAAAGCTAACCAAAATGTGCAGGGAGCTGAGATGGAAACTTCAGACTTCTTCCCTGGATTACATACTATGCTCTGTTGCTTGATAGGTTTGAGTACCTTATCTTTTAAGAAAAAGGAAAGTTCTTTTCAGCATATCGCTCAAGTTAGAAATTCCATGGCGGTCAAAAGTTGAAAAAAGGCAGGCCTAATATAGCTGAGTTTCATTTTCCTTTTTCTAAATTCAGTTTTGAAAGTGATGATGATGTTCAAAGTTATGGAGGCAGGGAGCAGCTCATTAAGCTTTGACACCATTGTTGTGGCCATTATATAAAAAAAGGAAGAAGGAAAAGCAGGACACAAAATAAAAAAGAAGTGATAGACTATTCTGAAATTCAATTGCATCTCATTTCATAAACGAGACTGCATCCTTTTTCAGTGTATGGGATCAAAATCAAAAGTAACAAGAAAACCAAGCTTTTTGTTTTCCTTTTGTTTCTATAAAGGTGGTGAAATTTTAGATTGATAGACAGCAAAAAGAAAATGACAGCTGTCTGAAAGAAAAAGCAAGAAAGCCATCAATATTGCCTGGATACAAAAGAAATGAGATCAAAGTATTCGTCTGTCAACACTAAATAGCATAAAAAGCCAGTCTAAATGCCAGCACCTTCTCAAATGTTTTTTAAGCCGAAAGACAAAAAATCAACAGCAGGACTGACAACAAAACATATGCCAAAATAGCAAGAAAATTACAATTCTGAAATGATAATTACTTGAAGTCAAAATGTCCAAAACATTATGCTTTATTCACAAAAGTCATGAACATTTCATTAAAAGAAAATTAAAACTTATCTGTATGTATGTTAGTAACAAATATTTTTAAAGAGCACTTTTGGTAAGTGATCTCGAAGATAAAGCCATGACCACAACATCAGTCCATATGAATTTCTTCTTGTAGCTGAACAAGCGTGATAATTAAAACAAAAACGCATAGTAGAAACAGCATAAAAGAAATAAAATCAGATATGAAAAGGTTGCAAACCATATTACTGAAAAAAATAAGTCTCAAAACAAGAGAAAAATTAAATAACACAGATATTTTACATGATAATGATGGTACAATTAGTAGTGAACCGTGTACCTCAAGGTGGGTGTCCCGGTAACCCGCAGATATGTCGCTCACCTCTCACAACAAAGTAGCAGACTTAACATTGGGGTCAGGCAGGTGAGGACTTGGGACAACTTGAGATCTTTCAGGGTTGTTTTCTACTTCTGATTCTACAGAATGTTATCCAGTACCTAGTCTTCTTGGATAAAAGCGAAAAACAGAGAGGTTCCAAGTGCACGCTGTACACATTGAAAACACTCCAGAGATTGAAAGACGAAGAAGATAAGGTTAACCCAGGCTATGGCCCTGGATATTACAGAATGTATCCCCCTCCAAAAACAGGACTCAGATCTGAACGAAAAATTACAGTACCTTTAAACAACTCAGGGATGCCTGAAAGACAGGGGGCGCTATGATCCAGTGGGAAAATAGACCATTACATAAAAATATAATGCTCCATAGGAAGAAGAATCCCCAGCAAAATGCCTGTTACATGAAACACATGCAGGGGAGAATGTATGTGCATTCCTCCAGCTGATTCTTCAAAACACATAACTGACATGCACATTGACCAATTCAAACTCATTGGCCTATCTGCATTCAAATTTACCGACTTATAAATCAAGGTATGTTCAAATTATACATATGAAAAGTATGTTACAGATTCCAAAAGCTAAAAAAAATAGATGTTCTGATCATGCTTCACTGGAACTCAATACATGAAATCTGAAAGACTTAAAACCAGCAAATGACAGCTTAGAGAAATAGTCATAAGGTCAATGTATGCTCAATACTGTTCAAACATGACTACAAAAAAACACATGAGCCTCACATCCAGTCCCAACTGCCAGAAGTAGAAGAAATAATACTCGGACAATTTTCCATGACAACTTAATTTAAAGGAGCAAACTTAATCTTTTAAGCTCCAGTTATTCAACAAAATAACAAGGAAAACACGCCAAAGAGTAGTCCGCGAGCTCTAAGGCTTCCTCCACATGGCAGAGACATCATCAGGTTCTTCTCAGAGGCAGTTTTTCTCTTATAACCTGTAAATAAAAATGGCTACTGTTAACCAGTTATCCACAGAAAGATTTTCAACCACAGCCCGAAAAGAACAAATGAAGTTCTCAAGGAATTACAAAATGTTATGTTATGATCTATCATCATTAATAGCAGGGTTCTAAAACAAACTTAAATTTCCGGTGACATACAATCGTGAATATTCCCCTATTTTTTTGAAAGTTTACAAAAATTACCCTGTAGTCTCTCTATACTTTATGAAGAAGTACAAATCGATTTTAGTGCAAGAATACATCTACAGTGCAATACACGAACAGTATATGTTACGCTCAAGAAATTCTTTACTTTTCTTAAAACGCTAAGTCTAGGTTTTGTAAATTGACTGAATAACACGGATCACTTCCCGTAACTTGGTTTTCAGAATAATTTTTAACTTTCCAGTGACACTGAATCAGCACCAGATTTTTCCAACTTTTATTTTCATTTCTATGACCATTTACAATAACTGACAACATTCTGATTTCTTTACATACATAAGTGTTTGTGCACATTTCCTGCACAAAAACTAAGAGTGAATGTGTAAGCTGTCATTGTCTTTGTTCCATAAAAAAGTTTAGGGGGGGGGGGTTAAATTGCACATCTTTCTTACTTGTATGCAGGCAGCTACAGACATGGCATAGTTGATGAACAAATGCAGAGTGCCTTTCTCTTATGTATTTCATGGTAAAACAAGAGCCAACGCGGAGTGTCTTTTGTCCAAAAAATGCAAACGTTCAGCCTTCTTCTCTTATAACTTGGCTATTACTAGATGTGCAGATTCAAGATTTCTCATGGTAAAAGAAATGATATTCGTAGTCAGTTTCACACAGATTTTGGAGAGATCTGTCAAGTCGTTTTAAAATAAACAATCACATATCATAAGTATGTAACTAAAATTGGAAAAAAATGGGTACTCTGCAAACACTTTTCTAAACCAAAAACTTAGGCACAGAAATTAACCATTCTAATGCAGAATAAATATCAGGACATTGAGCTTTTAATAAATCAGTGTAATGGTTTGCTGTGTGGGATGGGGAAAAAGTTATATTGTTTTAAACATAGACAAAAATTGAAACTTCTTAACTGACACCGGCAAAGTCGCTTCAGAGCTCATTAACCCCGAGACCCCGAGCAGGGGAGCTCCGCGGGCTGCTTAGTCACGCTAGCTAAAAGTACCAAAATAGGGCGAAAAGTGATGCCGTGGGCCAAATAAAGACCTCCTGACTTCAGTGAAAAGATGCAAACTTAAGTGGTACAGACATCCAATCAATGAGTTGAGGAGGGGAGATCAATCCATAATCTTCCAACTTAGAACACAACATGTACCCCTCAACCAACATCTCAACCGAATTGGAGTAAAGCAGTCTGCTGCCTGCCCACTACGTGACTACCCCTCAGAGACAGTGGAACATCATTTGTTCTTCTGTAGAAAACTAACTGATTTAAGGGCATGTTTTCTTCCCAAGCTACCCCACACATCTAATTGCCTCTACTCCTCAAGACAACAATTAGAACAGACATGCAGCTATTACTACAGAATGGCATCATGCAGAAGAGTTAACACTCAGATGCTACTGGATCACTAACAACAACAACAACAAGTGGTACAGACACATCACATGATCATCTGAACCAGCTAAGACTATGCTAAGGAGAACAGCACAAGGAGGGAAATAAAAAAACAGACAAAGGAAACGATGAGGAGACAACATCAAAGAGCGGACTGGCGGTGGTGACACGAACATCTTACAACAGAAAGCTGAGAACAGAGATGGGTTGAAGAAGCAGGTTGTTAAATCTGCAGTAGAGCCACAACGGCCAGCCAGAAAACAAGTTATCCTAGGTCCTCCTCCGACAGGTGAAGGTGAATAAATAAAATTGCTGCTAACCTGTACTAGTCGCTGAGCAAAAACAACAGGGGTTTCATTTTGCTTCTGGTTCGGCACCGGAACATCGTACTTCCTGAGCATGGCCAGCATCTCTTCTTGTGACATGATAGAAACCGGGTCGATCCTGTGGCCATTCACGATCCCTGTCAAGTACTCCTTGTAGTGCAATCTGTGAATAAAGAAAACCCTTTTTTTGACGGACATTTTATTTTATACTTATTCATACTGTTCAGTTCTGATTTTTTTTGTAACGAGAGTTCCTTTCCCATACAATACGGCAAATAGACTGTTGAGCAATATTGTTCGCAAAATGGTCCATGAATCTTGGGTCAGAGTGTAAAAATAATAACACATAAGTTTTCCTGTTCCAAATACAGGCAAATCTTGCCATCAACCAATGTTTTCAAAACTAAGAGAGTTGCATCCAAAGAAAAATTACCAACATATAATTTAAGGGCATATCATTAATAAAAGAAACAAATAGTTTTCAGAATTAAAAAAAAATAAAGTAGCTACATAGAAAATAACATTAGCGTTAGCAGATATGAAGAGCATGACAATAAATAGACTATCAAATATTATTCATAGAAAAAGCAGTTGTTTTCAAAAGGACTCCAACTTGAAAAAAAATTATCTATAAAAATCTACATCCAGCAGCTCTTGAGCTTTTATTCCTTGATCCAGTGCCACTAACATGAGGATAGAAGTCTGTACAAACTATCTTAGCACAGTAAAGAGTAATGTTTGGTTTGGGAGAGGGGGCTGAGGAAGACAAATTGTAAGCATGTGTGGTGAAAGGTACCAAACGACTCATTTGTTCGAACCGAGATATCATGCTTCAAAGGTCAAAAATATAATTTTTGACAAAAACTAGGTTCTATTAAAAATTGGATTCTTTAGCCATTACTATGTTCCATATTTACAAGGACTTAAGTTTCTTTGACTTTAAAATACATGTTTAAAGATGTTTGTTAACACGAGGTATATTGCATTACAATCCCAAAAAATGTGTGAGAAAATTGATTTTCCGAGTAAACACTGCAGATGGTTTCTCTTGTCCACTCACAAAGTCGACCCTATCACAATGCATACCAAAATTTAGGTCATTCTGTCCCCTCTCTTATGGCAGGCAGTGCGCATGAATATCTAGAACATGTAAACAAAGCGAAGCTGAGCACATCCAAACCCTTTCGTTTTTTTGAAGAGCAAACTTGTATCACCTTTTTCTGCCCTGCGCAAACCTATCTCTAATGTCTTGAAAATTTTTGATAAGGTGGTGGTGAATTTGCTTTGAAGTCGCAATATAAACACTTTGAAGCTGTTCTTTTATCTTAGCTGGTCGGTTTGTGAGTAGTGAATGTGTTGTCATGCTGTCTCGAAGCATAGATCTATCAATTTGAAGCAGAAACAAAAAGGAAACTTTGTTTCCATACCCTGCCTTACAAAATCAAGCATATCTCAAAAACTACTGAAGACAGGTGCCTAGGGTTGGGGCATTTAGGAAGCAGCTGGAAGGAAAACTTTAGAGTTTAAACGGAGCCAAAACAAATGCCTGCAATAAAAAAAAGTACAGGTAAGTCAACAGTGAAAGATAAAAATAATTACAGGAGACGCAGTAGCTCAGGTGCAAAATTCGTTCCCAAAAAGCACAGCTTTTTTTTCTCATATATTCTACACCCCCTGATTGTTCGCTAGGTAAAATGAAGAACCTAGTCTTCTTGAATGAGGACGAAAAGTTTCAGAGGTCGCGTGTGAAAGTGTCACACGTTAAAGATCCCTTGGTGGTTCTAAAATTGAAAAGAGTAAACCCTTGTACAAAACATCCACCTCAATGTGTGCTGAATGGCCCTAGATGCCTCGCCAAGTCAGAGGAGGAGAAGAACTTACTCGCACAGTCCAGCATGGCCAGGTTCAGTGTCCTTGCCACATTTCTCTTCCCGGCTCGATCGGTCCAATTCTTTCTGCTCCATCACAGGGCACTGGGCATCGCCCTGATCTGAAGGGATATCAACATTGAAATCCACCTTGTTTTGCTGTGAAGGAATTACAAAAGATGATCTTTTAGGTAATGGAGATAAACATTGAAATAGCAGGTAAATGACAACAGAAGTGATGCAAATACAATGTATTTTGTTTGAGTAAGAATTTCATGGCAATTGCAACACAAATAGGTCATAAAATTGCTGAAAATTATAAGTATTACGAGAGAGTATCATTCAAAAAAAAGAGAAAAAGGAGAGATAAAGACAACACATGTTTGATAGAAAAGAAGGAGAAAACACCACCACAGCACCCGCCAACCATCCATACAAACAAGTAAGTGACTGAATACTGTTGCTCGTTTGGAGTTCACACTATTACTGTCATTTAACTTTGGGGTAAAAGAAAGACAAAGGATCAGACACAACAGACAGACAGTGGAAATGTAGAACCTATCAGTGACACCTTACAACCACCAACAGTCACTTATTGAAAAGAACACAAACAAAATGTTACCTCGTCTGAGATAAGGAGAAGCATGCTGATATCATTACTGTCCCTTAGTAAAAGTAAGACAAAGGTTCAGAAACAAAGGAGGGACAGAGAAAAAGCACTCGGAAAGCCTGCCAGAGACACCTTTCAACCACCAGCAGTCACTTGATACAAAAATGCAAACAAAATTTTTACCTTAAGCAGCTGCTGTAGCTGAGTGACGCTGTTGTCTCGGAGGTAGGAGAAACAGTCACGGGGACAGTGGCAGTGCAGGCCCAGCTGGCGACAGTTCTTGTACTTCTGGCACACCTACAACACATACAAGTTTTAGTTTTAGTAAGTGTTTTACGGCACTTGCAACACATTAAGGTCATATAAATGGAGAAGAATAGATGTTACGAGAGTGTAACATACAGAAAAAAGGAAAAGAGATAAGGAAGATTTTACTTTTAGTAGAGGTTTTACGGCGCTCGCAACTGCATAAGGTCATATGAGCACCAGAAGATTAGAGGTGTTACAAGAGAGTACAAACATAAAAAAGAAGGAGAAGAGAAAAGGACGATAGATGTTTGATAGGAAAGAAAGAGCAAACCACACCAGAGCACCCGCCAACCAACCACACCCAGCCAAGACAGACCAGAATCATGATTGGCACACAGAAAACAAAGTAAGAAAAGAAACGAAAACGACATTCAAGACAATGAATACGGCCTACAACAAGCCAAGTTTTTGTAAAAGTTTTATGGCACTTGTAACACAATAAGGTCATAGTTTAGTTTTAGTAGAGGTTTTACAGCACTCGCAACTGCATAAGGACATCTGAGCACTAGAACATTAGAGGTGTTACAAGAGAGTACAAACATAAAAAAGAAGGAGAAGAGAAAAGGACGATAGATGTTTGATAGGAAAGAAAGAGCAAACCACACCAGAGCACCCGCCAACCAACCACACCCAGCCAAGACAGACCAGAATCATGATTGGCACACAGAAAACAAAGTAAGAAAAGAAACGAAAACGACATTCAAGACAATGAATACGGCCTACAACAGCCAAGTTTTTGTAAAAGTTTTATGGCACTTGTAACACAATAAGGTCATAGTTTAGTTTTAGTAGAGGTTTTACAGCACTCGCAACTGCATAAGGACATCTGAGCACTAGAACATTAGAGGTGTTACAAGAGAGTAAAAAAGATAAAAAAGAAGGAGAAGAGATAAAAACGATAGTTGTTTGATACGAAAGAAGGACCAAACCACAACAGGGCATACCCCCCGGGGCGGTGCCACTGACTGAAGTGTCTTTAGGCCATTCCGAAAGAGGGGCCATTTCTCGTTCTAATGCACAGTAGAATTGTAAATGGGCCGAACCAACAATGTCATGCTCATAACTGTGTCTGAACTACAACAGGGAACTGCTGCTTTTTCTTTCCTAATCCTTACTATCGTCATTGTTCTCTACTTCTTTTGTATGTTTGTCACACTCTTGTGATCCGCTATTTCCAGGGAGCCTTGATAGTCGAAGCAGACTTTGTGCTGTTAAAGCTAGAGAGGTGAGCAGAGTAAGTCTGATTCCCGGTAAGGACTTCTCTGTTGACATCCATCCCTTGGCACTAATATGACCTTATGCAGTTGCGAGCGCCGTAAAACCTCTACTAAAAAAAAACAACACCAGTGCACCCGTCAAGCACCCACCTACAACCAGCCATGTTTTAGTTTTAGTAACAGTTTTACAGCGCTTGCAACACAATAAAGTCATACAAATGCTGAATATTAGAGATATAACAAGAGAGTAACAAACAAAAAAGAAGAAAGAAAACTCTGGACAATAGATGTTTGACAGGAAAGTAGGAGCAAACCACATCAGAGCACCCACCAACCACCCACAACTAGCCAAGACCAGAACCCTGAGTAGGACATCGAAACAGAGTTAAAACACAAATGAAATCGAAATTCAAGAAACTGAACAAGACCCACAATTAGGCCAATGTTTACAATACTTATACTACAGGTAACAAATCAGACAATCAGACAGAGAAGGGCACACACACCCTATCGGAGAGATGGAGATGATTGACAAGATATCTTTCCCATGTGTTGTCTAAACACGCTCAAGGGTATGACCACTAAACCGCAGATGCAAGTCCCAACACGGCCACCAACTACAACTCACATTTTTGTGGTGGTACGCCTCGTTACAGCCGCTGCAGAACTCGTGGCCACACTCCGGGCACTTGAAATGCATACAGCCGCCTTTGGCCAGGTCAAACCTCATCTTGCACTTGGGGCAGTCTGAAAACATGTCATGGAAGAGGTGATCATGGTGAGTATGGGCCAAATGCAGCCAAAACAAAATTTTAAAAAAACAACAATAACAACCCAAAAAACCTGATTAAAAAGAATACTATTCTTAAGTGAAAGATACGATCCTTGTGCTAATAATGATAATATAAATGTAGGAAACATCACAAAACCTCTGGACCTCTACGAATAATTATACAATGTTAACAAAAAAGTCAATTTATAAAAATCTCTCTCCCTCTCTCTCATTGTGACTCCTGATGTTGCACACTAAGAAGTAATAATAACAATAATAATAATAACAATAATGATAATAATAATAACAGCATTTATAAAGTACATTAACGTATCCACACTCCATATTACGCTCTATGCCCTTTACAACTACTTTTACCCCAGCAGATCCTGGAACACTCAGAAACATTCTTAGCTTCCCGGGAAGCATACAGTGCAAGAAGCAGATTTCATATGCTTTAACACTGACAAACTGACAAGATTTTTCCCTGTCAAGTACCCATCACCCCCAGGATGAAGTGAGGAAAATTTGTGTTAAGTGCCTTTCTCAAGAACATAACACCGGACCCAAGATGGAATTTGAACCCATAACCTTATGGCTGAGGGTCCATGAGCCTAACCAATAGACGACTGACACCTCAAAGGTAAAGCATTCAAAATAAGGAGGCATATTTACTTTTAGCGATATCACTACAAGGCACTGGGCTTCTTTTTTTTTTAAAGTAAGAGTTTTATGGCACTTGCAACACAATAAGGTCATATAAGTGCCAAAGATAAGAGGTGTTACAAGAGAGTAAAAAACACAAAAAAGAAGGAGGGGAGATAGAGATGATAGATCTTTTTTATAGGAAAGAAGGAGCAAACCACACCAGAGCACCCGCCAACCACCCACGGCACTAAGCTGCAGGAACTATAAAAACAACAACAATAGTGACAAATGTCTTTCAAAAAGACACAAAAAAGAGAAAATTATTAGGACGTTGCTGCCTACCTATGCCATTCTGGTCAAGATGTTTGGCCAGGCCCACTGACTGGTTGGTGGGGTCATTGTCAATCTTCCATTGGTTGAACTGCTCGCACGTCAGCCCCTCATGTTGGTCTTCCCACTGATCAGAAGGATGCGGGGGGATAGAAGGACGGTTATTGTTTGTTTTAGTAAGAGTTTTATGACATTCGCAACACATTAGGTCATATAAGTGACAAAGATTAGATGTCTTATAAGCATAGCTGCCACTCAGAAATTTTTAAAAAGGAGGAAATTCACGCGAAAGTGTACGCGCGCTCTCCGAAACCAGTGAGATCCAGAGGCAATATATACTGGAAAATCTAGCCTACGGTTTTGGAAGGGAAAACTGTCATATTGTTAACCATAGGCAACTGAATTAAAATGTATTTGAAAAAAACAAACAAAAAAAACAACAACATAAATGCAGTAAGTTGACTAACAAGCATTCAAGTCAATTTGACACAGTTTGGACTTGGTGACTAAATATCTAGTGTTTTTTGCCAGCTAGTGTCTCATAAAAAGATTTCTTTCACTTTAAACGTGTACATAATACATAGACGTAGAGCAGTATCGGATCAAGGATACACAGGCACTCCTGTACAATGGCAGTCCCGTTTGCACTTAGTGCCCCTGTAGTCTGTAGTGTGTTTCTTATTTAGAGATAAACTTAATTAAAATTATAGCCTAGGCTATCTAATCTAGATCTAGATATATCTAAATATGTGTAGATCTAGATTATATCTAGAGATAGATTTTCTAGATCTAAATCTAGATCTAGATTTACTTCCGCAGCAGCCACAATAGCCGTCATGTAAACAAACGGGACCGCAATTGTACAGGACTGTAACAGGAGTGCCGCGGGCCGCGATTTCTTTCGCAAAAAACAGCTAGATCTAGTTCAATTTTCTAATGAACTTTTCAAGTCGCACACCGGCTGCTTCTTTCTCATTCCAACTCCTTTTATTTTTGCATTCTGAATCAATTTCTCTCGAATTTCCGCCAATTTCAATGACAACTCGGCGCGCTAACGTCCCGATGCCCGATCGACACTGTGTTGCTCCACAACAATAAACAATGTGAAACTAGCGCTGGGCCTAGAAGAACGGAAGTAGAAAGCTACGGGCGGACATGCGCAGACCGCGTTTTCGTCTCTCTCCCGGTTCGGTGTTTTCCGCGTGGAAAAAAAAGTATGAAATTTGCGACCAAGAGCGGTCCAGCGGAGGAAGGAGGAAAGTTGCGGGGAAAGCTAGATGTAGCGGAGTTTCCGCTATTTAGCGGGAAAGTGGCAGCTATGTATAAGACAAGAGAGTAACAAATACAAAAAAGAAGGAGAGATAAAAACGATAGATGTATGATAGGAAAAAAGGAGCAAATCACACCAGAGCATCCATCAACCACCTACGATGGTTATTGGAAGATTCTGTAATTTCCTCTTTGGAAAGTGGAGGCACAGAGTTCCCCACGTCGTATGGATACAATAGTAAAACACGACGTACGGATAGGGTTAAGGGGTTGATACACCACATCATTCAGGTGATAATCATACTTTTTGTTACAATAAATCGAAGACACATTTATTATTGCCCCTCTTTACATCCTTTTACTCAATGTAACCAACATCATGTTAAGCCCCCACCTCACCAAAAAGGCCGGACCAAGACAAAAAAATAATAAATCAAATAATGACATTGTGAGGAATCGTGGTGAAATCAGGCGCTCGTCAAAATTATGATATTAAGAAACTGGCATTTTTCTGCCAATCAAATATTTGTTCCTAGGCTTAACACCAGTACTGTCCAATTAAGAACACATTTCTGGGCGGATTTTACTGAAAAACGTTGATTAAAGCACAAAAAAGTAAATTTTCACTTTCCACAGACTATCAACCTATGGAAATAACCAAACTTTGACGCCCATTTTCTCGCTAATTCTACCTTTGAAACCAGACGACCCCACCTTCTTCAGTCTCAAATATCTTGACTTCTATTCAAGATAGATGGGCATTTTTAAACCGATAGCAAGACAACTAAACAAGTCTTAAGATGATATCAATAACTCCACATGCCCAAAAATTGATGAGCGCCTGATTCCACCACGCCATGACACAATTACGTACCTTCTTCTTGCAACTGTAGCAAGTCTTCAAGCCACATGCAGGACATGTCATACAAAGTCGACGATTATCTGCAATAAAGCCTGCCGCACACTGAGAACAAAAGGAAAAGAGAAATGGAATGTGACCCTGTTCTACATGACTACAAAGATGCCACAAGACCACTTCACACATCAAGCAACACTTTTCCAACAAACATTCTGGCTATGTCAGCATTTAGCTCTACGAAGCCCTACTGCTTGTGAAAATATGTGCTTCCCACTGCTTGCGACTAACCCCATAAGAAATGACTTCACCTGGCCAGGTAAGTATGGTGACTATACTATAACTATGTGTCTATGAGAAGCACGTCAATGGTGTAGCAATACAGACATTGAGTTTTCTCTCCTATTATCATTCACAGAGCTGCATTTTGCTAAAAACTGAATATTAAATTGCATCAGCCAGAATTAATTTCATGAATTTCATCAGAGAAACAGATAGTGAGATTGAATATAGAAAAAGCAAGTATATGGTAGAGAAATTTGATAAGGAAAGTAATTCAGATTCTAGATCCAAAATTTTGAGCAACATAATGTACTGCCACTCAAAAGATACACCTTCGAGCTTCAAATTCTCACAAAGAAAGGATGTACCATCATGTCCATTTTTAACTTAATCAAAATTTGACATGGAGTTGGAGAAGTGGTTGGAAATGTGTAACAAAATAGGGAATGTGAAAACGACACACTCTGTGTCGCTCTGGCAGAAGGGGGCAAACAGAAATGTCATGGAGCATGTCGTTCAGGCCAACTGATTTCAACTCACGTGAGCACACCAGCGGAAGTTCTCATCCTTTTGTAAATGCCAGTCACGGATCTTAGTCTCAAACAGGTTGTGTAGTTCTTCATGGATCAGAGGTTGAAGCTGAAAAACAATGCAAGAAAACTGAAATGAAAAGAACAAAATGACAACATTTTTTGCCCCTGTCCACATCTTCAAATCAGTTAAGACACAAGCTGCTCTGACCCTATGTTTTCAAGGTCAGCCTAGGTTGTAAGGAAAACATTATTGCAACAGAGAGACAGTGACACTCCATAAGATGTTTTCCCAACTAGGGGATCTAACTCCATCCCTTGCATGCAATTTGAAGAGATAAAGTTGTACAAGCTTCAAGAATCTGAAATCTTTGATCAGAGTAAATGAAGTGAAACAACTGAAGACACAAATCAAGTGCGAATAAAACAATTCTAGCTGAAGACCCAAGGTTTCAGGAGGCAGAGAATGAAAATGTTAATCTAAGAGATTTAAAAACTGAGGTGCCATACGAAAACGTCATCGCAAGGACTTGAAATTTATGCTTATGCAGGCAAAATCCAGGTTTGTATATTTTTCAGGAAAAAGCACCTCCGCCTAAAGGGAAATGCATAGACTTGTTTATTTTGGAAATGCTGTCACACTGTCCAGGGCTACACCAAAGAGAAACCTTCGAGCAACACTTGATCGCTCCAGACCAGACCACTTACCAACATGCTGAGAAAATGTAAGTACTCCGAGGCCACGTCTGTGTCGTTGAGGTCTGGCAGAGAGCAGATTGGACATGTCCACTGACGTACGTGCTTCTCCCGGATGTCCACCTCAAAGTTCAGGGTAAGGCACTCGGCACACAGCTTGCACTGGCACACGTTCAGACTGTGAATCTGACAAATATATAAGAAGGGGCAAAATAGAAAAGTCGCTCATACAAAATAAGAATTTCTGCTGTAAACGGTTCATGTATAATTTTGTAAAGAGCTAAAATCCCAAAGGGCACCATCAAGTTTAGTACTTTTCAAGAAGATTGAAAACTGTTTGACCTACACTGCAAACAGCTCTGAAAATAATCTTTTTAACTCTTTAATCCCTGAGTTTTTTCCAGTATCCCTGAGTTTTTTCTAGTCATCTAAACCTGCTACACTATGTCTCATTATAACCCCAAAAGCTTGCCTCCAACTTCTAAATGACGGAAACAAAGGCTTAGTCATTACTAAATGACTTCGATCGCGAATAGTTCTGAAAAAACAAGCAAAAACTAGTACTAAATGAAACGAAACAGTTGTCACTAGATTCAGACGCTCTCAGCATCCAATCAGGAACAGGGTTATTACCGCCGGACGCTGTTTGAAGAGTTAAAGGTCTGAACAAGTATTTCTCATCCTCTTGATTCATCATCATCATTGCCTTTCTCACCCTGTGTCGGGGTACAAGCTATGAGCAACACTTTCCACCTTTCTGTATTCTGAGCTAGCCTCTTTATGTTATTCCAGGTCTTCCCACTTTCCTATACATTGATTTCTGTGACTCTTCTCTAGGTTCCACGTGGTCTTCCCCTTGATCTTTTACCCTGTGGGTTCCAATCCAACACTTTCCTTGTTATGCACCTGTCTGACTGACAAGCTTCCTAAGAGTATGTCCAATCCACATCCTCCTGATTAGGTCTCCTTATTTCCTATTCTACTGCATTAGACACAGCTGTGATCAACCCACCTTGCTCATGGGAAATGTAGCATAGCAGATCTGGCACTCCTGCTGCAGGTAGGCTAAGGCACTCTGGCGATCACGACAGTTGCGCACCGCCTCCACTACGTCCTCCAGGCTGACCTCAGTCCGTGGAACTCCTTGGTCTAAGATGCTGATCACCATCTCTGCCCGGCCCCAGCTCTTCAGACGACCCTCCACCAAAATCATGCGGGTGCGACGCTATGAACAGGAGAAAAATGCAAGACAGTTCAGACAATTTATCCTCCAGCCTGCGTACGAATTTTAATTGTATATAATAATTACAAACATTGTAAGAAAAGAGACTTTAACATTTCATTGTCAGTGACATTTTTGTTATCAAAGAAACAGAAAAAGCATAAATTTATACTGGACAGAAAATGGGTAGGAGATATCTGCAACATGAACCATTGTCCCTTCTTTTCCTCTCCAAACACCATCAGTACATAAGGAGATACGGTAGTTAGAAGGATAAAAAAGCAAACTCACATCTAGATCAACGTTTTTGTCCCTGATGATCTTTTGAAAATCCCAATGGTTAATGACACTAGTGGAGAAACTGCGACACATGTCCGAGCTGGTCATGTTCTGAAGCTGGAAGTGGTCACCGCATTCGGATTCTCGCTGGGCCCAGATACGACCAATGAACGGGTACAGTTTGGAAGCTTGCAGAAAATGTTCACAGGCAGCTTGGTCACCGCAGCTTTGCTGCATTGCATCCAAGATCTCTTCTCGGGGGAACTCACCCAGCGCACTGAGCTTGCCATACTGTTGATGATAAATATTTGTTTGTTTGAATGAAAGAAGAGTACATCCAACACCATAAACATAATATTGTGAAGAGAAAGAAAGACAGGTAAACAGAAACAGTGGGCCGGTAAAAAAAGTGAGAGCCGACAGTGGCGCCTCCCAAACACCTGCATAAAAAAGATGAGACACAAACTCATTCCCTCTCTCCCATACACTCACACTGCTGTATGTCACTTACCAGATCCTTCCTGTTCCGAACACACAGGTTCACTGCTTCCTTTATGTTGCCATTACAACTCATGTAAGCAGCCTTCGCCTCAGCCAATGAGAGCTCTCCCACACAGTTCTGGTCCTCCTCCCGGCCCTTCTTGCCTGCTCGAAGGGCCACCTGGGTCACGTTATTGGTCCAGTTGGTGCGCAGCCACTGTACAGGGTCAAGGCTATGGAGACTGCACTGAGCCAGAGCTATGCTCATAGCATCCACCTCAAACCCTTCTCTGTCAGCCATCTGAGGAAGAAACAATTTATCCTTTCTGAACACACACAAGGTATAAAAAGTAGTCAAATCATCTTGAAAAGAAATAATTTATCATTTCTGAACACACAAAAGGTATAAAAAGTAGTTAATTCAAGATTTGTGGGTCACAACAACAGCCACATTCCACCAGTAGTTGTAATCAAAAAGGATAACTAATTTTCTGGGAACAAAGTACAGCAGCCTCTGCCTAAGATCCCACTGTTTACAATCCCGGTTCACTTATGGTCCCGCTGTTTTAAGAAAACATAATTTTTAGTACATAAAAGTCACCACTAAGATCCCGCTCTGAAGGGCTACATTGCCGCATTTTAGATAATAATTCGCCAACGCGTTTGTTTTCCCCAAACATTGCACTTGCTTCTGAGCTCTCCACCTAAATTTGCATCACACGCTGAGTGGGAAGGGCTTACAAGTTCACTCCAAGCAGGATCACATCCAACTGTGAACTCCTCTCTGACCGTTGCAGCAGTTGTCTCTATGCCCAAATTTGTGAGGCAGGCTGAATTTTAACTTGCGAGGTCAAATAACAATGGTGCGTAATGACAAAGGTGGGGGAACTTGGTCAGAGATGGAAAGCTATAAATTTTGGACAGGTAAAGGTGAGGAGCAATTGGATAAGCATAGATCTTGAGACTCACGGTAGGATATTAAATGAAAATGGCATGCCTCATGCCACTGTGATTGGTCATCAAGGTTGACCACTCTTTGCTTGTCATAAGTCATAAACCCACCCAGAGATCACGCCAGTTCATTTGAGAGTAAGGGGAGACCATTTTACCAGTTCTGGGCCTGAACATTGGTGACCGTAAATTCTTCCCTTGGTGAGACGGGTAAGATCCCGTTCGCCTGAGATCCCGCATTTCCCTAGCTCTTGAGCACCAGGATCTTAGGCAAAGACTACTGTAGAAGGAACCAACCACACTAGAGGGCCTGACAACAACCGACATTGCAAAATTAGGAATTAGAAGAGAAAATTTAAGCTGGGTTGGTTTTTTTTCTTAAACAGCAAAGAAACTACAGTCAAAATTGTCCAAGACGGCCATCCATTGTTGAGGAGAAAAGAGGTTGTCTTAGACAGGTAGACATTTCGGCTTGTGTCATTAACCCTTTGAGCCCTGAGCTGCCCCACTAAAGCGTATCTCTGTTCCTGGGTTCCACGCCCCCAACATACCTATCATTGTTGTCACCACTTTTACTAGATCTAGATCTATCCTCACCTTGGCCTGCTTCATGATCAATACTGCTTTCACTTTCTGTTTCATAATCTCTTTCTTGGTCTTCTTCATCCGATGCTGAATCTCCAGCGAAAAAATCAATTACCTGTTGGGTACTAAACAACTCAGTTCTAGCCCTTTTACCACTGGAAGTACTGGGTTCATTCATATTAGCTCGCCTCATTTTTACGGTGAAGTAAACCCAATTTTTTTCCAGAAAATCTTCCACAAACTACACATGTAGAAGCACAAACGACATATTTGAATAGTTATGGAGCAAATTTAAGATTTATAGCCATTGGCATTCTATTTTTAGTGCATGACGAGCCTAGGGCTGAGGCCACTTGTGAATCCCGCTTGAGAGGGAATCAGGATTTTTGACACATGTTCGCGAATCCTGCTCTAGCGGGAATCCGGGCTCCAAGAGTTAACACTTTCCCATCACAAGGCTCATATAGCAAAAACCCTTGCCATCACAGGCAAAGGCATTTTGGGGAAAATCCAAAGAAACTGGGTGGTAAGCATCGCCGATCGGTGAGATGTGATGGCAAAGTGTTAATATTTTAAAATACAAGGGGAAAATGGGAAGTTGTCGTTTAGGCAGATGATTGTCTTGGACAAGTGGACATAAGAGCAGGTTCAACCATATGTCTAACCTTGACCCACTGGGCCAACTGAGCTCCCTCAGCCTCCACGCTGTCAATCAACTTTGCCTGATCCAGTCGACCCAGTAGTTCCTCCACAGTTCCTTCCCCTGCCACCCCATCAGCACCAATAGCAGGACCAGCTGGAGTCGGGGAGACCCTAGAGGGGGGCGTCTGGAAGTCCCCGGAGGCAGAGGATGAGGTCAGGTCAGTGGTGGAGGAAGGCACCTTATTCCTGGCACCCGAAGAGGGAAGGGAGGACGGGGACGGAGCCCGCAGCATGGCCCCTTGACTCTGAAGGGAGGTGTGAGTTCACAGTAAGGCAAACAGTCTGAGAAACATTTCTTTATAAAGAGATTTGGAAACAAAAATGCTTGTCTGTTTCTTGATTAAAGACAAGCAAATGACAACGCTATCAATGAACTGCGGCCATGTCCAATAATAATTACCCTTTTCAGTGCGTATGTCTTCCAATGATTTCCAGTTTACTCATTATTGGCAAACAATCCAAAAAAACCCCCAAACAAAATAACTAGTTAGCCAAGCAACATAATACATTGCCCTTTTGTAAAACAATAAATTGTTTGTAAAAAATTTTAATTACAGGTCTATTATTACACTCCTTCAATTGGAAGGTGAAAAAGGCAGATAAAACTTTTGAACTTGAAGGTAACAAAAAATTAACACTTCAATCATATGCCAAAAATATAAATGGAAGGAAACTGTAGATAGTACTCTGAACACACCCAAAAGCAGCAAACCACCTGATGATACTTTTTAAATTGTAAAATCTTCCATCTTTTCTTCCATTTGGGCTTTTCTGTTGACTAATATTTCAGATGGCCTCAACTAAAAGGGTGACCCCTTGTAAAATTTGAGAGCCATGCTTCAGGCTCAATTTAGTCACAACATCAATAATAATAATAAATGAATGGTATTTGTACGACCCATATCCCCACTCAACAGCAAACTCCATGCACTTTACAATCTATATTAATACCTCAGCCGACCCAAGTACACTCAGAAAAATTCTCAGCTTCTGGGCAAGCATACATCGCAGGCTGCCAATCAAGCGATCAAACCATTAACACCGATGGGGGTTCGAACCAATAAGATTGCAGGCTGCTGCTAGTCCTACAAGTGCTAAACAAAACCTGGTCCAAAAAGAAAATATTTCTTCAGGTGCTTGTTGTAGCTCGCCCTATCTGAAAATGTCAGGGACTTTCCATAACTCACAGAAGGAGAAGCCTGTCGAGGACTAGCTGCCAGTTGCTGTAGATTTCCTGGCTGGGCACTCCCTGCGAACTGAGGCAGCCCACCCTGCCCATACAGTTCTTGGTACTGCTGCTGCTGCTGCTGAAACTGCTGCTGAGCTTTTTTCTTCTCTTTCATAACCTGAAAAAAATTAATTATTCAGGCTGCTGAAAAAAAATTTTTTTAAAGAAGGAAATTTCAATACAAACTGATCTGAGTTTGTAGTTTGAAGTTTGAGTAAGGAGAAGCAGATTCACAGTAGCGGCCATTTAGTGAAGGAAAGAGCTAGGCAGACAAGACAAAATCAACAGAGGAAGAAAAAAGAAGATGTTAGACCTAGCAGTATCACCCTCCAACTTGATTTCAAATTACAACGGGCAAAAACAGCACAGCATCAACAGTTCACATACAGCTGAGAACAAAAAGCTTTGATGCTTTCTTTCCTATCAGCAACTCACCTTGCATATACAATACAGGGAACATTAGTCAGAGCAAGATCTGCAAGAAACATCAGCGATCTTGGTTCACCATTCATTTTTTTGCTCAGATACTTGAAAAAAACCCTATATCATCCTGGTTTTCCCTGTCACCAATCTGATTTTTTACAAGCAAGTTGCTCTGGGTCTACCCCTGCCTCATTAGCAATCAATTTTGACATGTGAGAAAAAAATGTTCAAGACCTTTGTGTCAATTCAAGTGTCCTAGAAACTTTATTTACCTCTTCTTAATTGTTTTTATTAGTGAGCAGCTCATGTGGACTTCTTAAAGAACCTTTGATTTCTTTTCCTTCCATGAAATTCTAAACAGTCTCCAAAGAAACCACATTACTGTTGCTCCTATTTAATTTCACTGTCTTTGGTAATTGTCCAAAATCCACAGCCATAAAGAAGGGTTGACTGCACATAGCCTTTTGGAACTGTTATTTTGGTAGTCATTGAAATGTTTCTACAGTATAACATGGATAGCTCGAATTTGTTGGGAACGTCCTCGTTTGTTCAAGTGATACGTGAACAGTGTTATTGCATCAGCTGAACTTGAAGTTGAAAGATTGAGAATGAGAAACATGATGAGCAACGTTTTCACGTTCGGTCGGTAATGAGCCTACCAGTACCAAGACAATTTAATTGGGCAGGCCAGTGTGAGCAGTCTTTAGTCTGCACCAACAGAACAGTGCCTTTTCACATTTGTCAAAACATAAACAAAGTGATAGGATAAGCATATCATCGCAACAGACAATGCAGCCCTACCCCGTCTATTCTACCTAGCGCGCAGTTCTTTGTGAAGAGGGGTGGTGTGGTCGATCGTGTTATGCACAACCTTTCCTCTCGCCTGCTCCACACAAGCCTAGTTAGGCCTAGGGCCCAGGCACACGTGTCAAGCACCGCGCTAAAAATAGTACAGCTAGCTGCTTTTGTGGATTTTGAAAGGTGGAATTTTACCGACCTTGTTTTTTTCCATTAAAAAAAGTATATTATTATTATTATTTTGCCTCAAGTGCACCTCAAAGGACATCGACTTTAGACCTCTACGACCGCATAATTAGATTATTCTGTATTTGTGTTCAAGTGTCGCATAATTTGCTTACAAAGATAAAGCAGAAAAAAAAATAATGTGACCGCAGGCACAGTTTGACGGATATATGATTTTGAGTCTTCTGTGTTCGACGTATCCTTGTTCAACTGTATTTTTCAGGATTGGGATAATTTTATTGAAACTGTCAATAGCTATTACAAATCTTAACCAAACAAGAAAAAACGAGCTTCTCACTGAGCTATGAAACAGGAAATACTCACCTCATCTTGAATGCCAGCAATTCTTGCCCCAACTTCCTTTGACTTAATCAAATTCGAATGAATTTGACTTTCATCCTGATTCAGCTCCGACAGCATGGCAATGAAACGGTCACTACCAAACTCAGAATTTTCATCGCTTGTCTGCTCCTCCAACTCAGTGGTGCTGATTTCACTGCTCAGTGACATGCTGCTGGTGATGCTCACAAGCTGTGGGTTGTCCGATGTTTTGTGGCACATTTCACACGCATGGCTGGAGGCTTGGTTGATGAAGGTGCAATGTTCACAGTGCCATGGCTTAGGCCTTTGAAGGAAAACAAACAACAGCCGTTTTACGACTTTTTATAACTGTCTCGTTTGTTGAGAGCAATGAAAAGCACATCAATACAATAACAGACATTTACTGCAAAAAAAGAGCAAGATAGAAGAAAGCAAAAGAGGACATAAATGGAGAGATGTTCTTTTTTCCTTATTGTTTACTCTAATCAGTGAGTACCACATGAAGCCCTAAAAATAATTTGCATGTGTCTATCACAGTCATAAATTCATACAAAAGTAAAAATAATAACCCTCAAATTTCGTCCACTTGAGATCTATTCAAAATCAGCATCCAAATGTGCAAGAGGATACAAATAGATAGTTAAGATTAAAAGATATCACAAATTCATTACTGTTACCCAAAACCGCAAGACATACGAGCAGAGGCAAAGAAGGCCCAAAGTCTAAAAAGGCATAATTCAGCTAAACTGAAAGGTGGGCTACTTCAATCCATACCTACCCGCCAGGGCTGAGAAGCCTGCATCGAGGCAAAAAGAGAATGACCCTATAAAATATCTTCCCCAGGTAGAATCAAACCCGTATCTTTTGAGTGTAAGACCATAAGCCCTGGCGTTTATATAATACTAGCTGGGCCCCCTTTCGATGAAAGGAATAATCGGTGCATTAACATCAACTGAATATCATTGGTCAACTATATTTACACTCTACTGGAATGGAGCAATACATCTTGAGAGAAAAGTGACAAATATGTTTCCAAGTTGCCAAATATATAACAGATGCATAGATTGATTCTCTGTTCTGCTTTCGTGGTTGTAAAGAAGCGTGTTGATTATTCCCAATAGCAAGAAAAAGAATTTAACAAAGGAGTCCAGAAAAAGTGATGATGGGAATCAAACGAAAGGATTACAGTCGAATTTCGCACCAAGTAAAAAAAGAAAACATGAGGCTAGATCTATACGGTTCGCACACTTAAAATAGTGCTCAGTATTGCGCGACAATGCGCGATAGTATCGAACGGAAGTACGACTTGAAATAAACAAACCTGGCGGATTTTCTAAAATTACTGAGACAGAAGCGTCGGCCTACGAAAGCGATCGCCGAAATAAAGAAATTTAGCTTTTGCAGCAAAACTGTCTCAAAACTGAAAAAAACGAAGGGTGTCATGATCTGGAGAATATTTTAAAGAATCTTTTGACGAAAGCCGCAGGTCGATCAAAGCAGCCTTTAAAAAGCCTTTTGAATAGCAAAATTCGGCCACCACAAATAGATAATAGATACTCTTCATCCATAATAGACCAGCATGTGAGCCTCAACCAGATTGTCTGAAAATTTTGCGCAACCCCCCCCCCCCCCCCCATAACTTTAGAGCTTTTAAATTGTGGGTGTCATAAAAGGAAGGATTTCCGAGTAACGAGCGACCACCCGAACAAACACATTAAAGAAAAGACCTAACCCTAACCCAAACCCTATCGGCCTACTCCTAGGCCTAACCCAAAAAAGAACCTGCAACGGCCCTCATGTAAAAAGGCCAGCACAAGTCAAAATATTTTAAAAAAGAAATAAGCACACTCCAAAACAAACAAGGAGCATTTATAATAATAAACATAATATGGCCTACATTGCTATAAAGAGTTTGATACAATTCAATAGAATTGAATAAAGATCTATGAATCCTCCATATAGATCTAGATCTAGTAGAACAAGTGAATAGGAATAGATCTAGAATCTAGACCTTGAACGAGAAATCCGCATCCTATTCCGAAGAGAGGGACTCAGTTGAGTCTAGGGGTCTAGATCTAAATCTGGATATCTTTATTCTTCTAAGTAAATAATTCACGCACCTGATAAAATGCGTTTTACCAACATTAAAATTACAGCACAACCTATAATATGGTTTGACACAATAGAATTGGAATATGAATCCTCCATTGAGGTCCATAATGATCTATATAGATCTAAATCTCGATCTAGATCTAGAGTAGAACAAGTGAGTCGGACTTGAAAGAATCCACATGATCTGAACAATCAGTAAACAAACGAAATTAAAAATGGCCGCTCGAGCAAGAAACTGAAAGTAGATAACTTAAGTCGTCGTACTTTTTCGTATTCGTATTTCTACTCAGGTTCCGACAATTATGTCGGAAACGCCGACGTCGGCAGTCGGCGGTGCGCGCGTCGGCGGTCAACACGAAAACGAAAGTGCCGACAAAGCCGACGGGAGAAAAAGGGGTCGCTGGCACACGGCCAGGCCTCGCACTTCGAACATTGACTAATACTAATACAGGTGGGCCTAGCGATAGCATCGGCCGGTTCGCGGGTCGGGGTCGCGATTGTCGGATTTCAGACGATTGTCGGCAAACATGCAGGTCTACCATAAGTATTGCATCGTAGGAGCTGAGTTGTCGTTTATTGAGAGTCATGACGATAAAGGAGTGTCCATTGCGAAACACATCAGGATAATAATAGTTAAATAACAGCACTAGAAAAAAAGCAGAAGGAGCACAACGACAGAATGGCCACCAACCACATGTCTTGCACAGCAGAGAGAAGGCTGCACATAACTTTCTAACGGCCAGAGAACATATGAATTTGAAGCCTGAACAACAGGAGCCTTAACAGAACACAGATAGAATGGAAAAACAGGACACATTAAACCCAAGCCTTTTCCTTAAAGTTGTGCTTTTAAGCATTTGAAAAGACCCCCCCCCCCTTCCAAAGAACAAAAAAATTCAAGTAGACTAAGATACTTACTTGACAATTTCAGTATTTGAAATTTTGGGTGGGGGAAATGTTATATCCAGTCTGTCATCCCAGGCAGCAGAAGGAGGGGGAATATTCGGTCTCGGGGGTAAAGCAGGGGGAGCAACCCTTGGCTCAACAGCGACGGGAATCTGTCAGGGAACACAGTGCAGAAATTTATAAAAACTAACAAACTCTAGAAGGGTAAAGCGCATTTTGCTCATCTAATTCACATTAAAATTCACTTAATGACTTCTTTGAATGACAGTATCAACTCAGTAGCATGTGCATGAAAAACAGAAATGTTGTACAACATCGCCCAAGATGGCACCATACAATGACTGGCTGGGAAAATGATTTACTTTGAAGCTTTTACTTGAGTCAACCCAGGAAGATTACAAAGACAGCAAAATACTCCATTAAAATTTAAAGATCTGCCCCCCCCCCCCAAAAAAAATCCAAATACTTTCTATGACGATGATGGACAAATAGATCTTAAAAAGAAACATACAAATTCAAATAGTTTCGGAAGCCCACAAAACCAAAATTTTTCAAGCTGTATAAAGTCAGAAAGCCTGGGGCTAATTTACAGGAACCTTGCAAAAATAATCATTTGTTTAAAAGTATTGAAAACAGGGTGGCTGAAAAAGAGTCAACTTTAGCTGTGCAGGAAAGAACCCTGGCAAGCAACTCCTCTTTGTTCAGCTTCAATTTTCAATCTGTGACTATTTCATGTCCTCAATGGGCTCTTTAACCCTATCCGTACGTCGTGTTTTACTATCATATCCATACGACGTGGGGAACTCTGTGCACCCATTTTCCAAAGAGGAAATTTACTCGTTAATCCGAAACATACGATTTGCATAGCAATCAGTCAAAATGATTTTTTGAGAAATACTGAAAGTTTCATAGAGATAGTCGTACTAGAAGTATTCTAAAATGTGAAGAATACAACCCCGGGGGTACAAAATAATCCCAGGACGTACGGATAGGGTTAAGCAAGCTTCAGCTCTACCCTTTCTTTCTGAGGAACTGTTTTGCCGTACATTTCCTTGGCTTCATCTTTCCAAAATGATTGTCCCCCAAGAAAGACACAGTGGACCTGTTTTTGTTTTCGATTAGATTTTGTTTTTGTCCCATGTCTGTATTGGTGTCAGACATTTGTAAGTTACATGGAAAATGTGGCAACATGGTAGCAACTACTTTGCTTTAACTTTAAGAGAAAAAAACAAACAACAAAGAACCAGAAAAAAGCCAAACTGTTCGGAAATAGTTGATGACGATGATAATGATGACCAAATTGGGGAAAACAATATGCAAGATTAATTTTGACGTGGTTTATTTCTTCTTTTTGTTCCTACATCAGGACCCGCTGAGAGCCCTCAGGCTATCCTAAGGGGCAGGACATCAATTTTACTTTGGTTTTCAGTAAGATTTTACAGCGCTCGCAACTACATAAGGTCATATGATCGCCAAAGGGTGAATGTCAACAGAGAAGTCCAAACGGTAAATCAGGTTTACTCTGTTCACCTCTCTAGCCTCAACAGCATAAAATCTGATTCGACTATCAAGGCACCCCGGAAATAGCAGTTCACAAGAGAGAGATAAACATACAAAAGAAGTAGAGGAAAAAATGGTGATAGTAACGATGAGGAAAGACAAAGCATCAGTTCTCCCTAAGTTGTTCCGGCAAAGTACGAACATGACATGGATGAATCATCCAATTTAAAATTCTACTGTGCACAAGAACATGATAATATCCCCCCTTTGGGAATGTCCTAAAGACAACTTCAGTCAGTAACACCGCCCTGGAGGGGGGAGGGGGGGGGGAGGCTATTTATATAAGCCTAAGCTTTACTTTTGTTTTCCATTTTCATGCAAAATTCTCCTACCGTTTCATCGCTAAAGCTGTTCTCTACGGGAACTTTTGCAGCCTGAACTGGCGGCCGGATTGCCCCTGCCGTGGAGGACACGGCTGAAATTGGGGGCGGCCTCGGAGGGGGTGGTCCGTGTGGAGCTTTCTTTGGAGGCGTCTGTGAGACCTGAGATAGAATGTAGCATAAAAAAATGAAATTCTTAACTGATCATTCACTAAAATGTGGCACTAAGGCAAAGTCAGTTTACCTGAATCTGACAGTGCAGGGTATGCCCCTGAAATGCATTGTGACCTTTCTGTAAGAGCCCAGAATCAGCAAAATCAGTAGATTTATGTGTACAGTTGTGAAAAAGTTGCTTTCACTACATGCATGTATCCATTTTCTACACATTCAAGTATCAAAGCTAACATTTTCTATTCACTCGTTTTAATTTTTCATCTGAGTGAAATTTCTCTGAAGGGACTACAAAATACATTTTGCTGTCTTTTATCATTTTCAAGCAAATAAAATAAAAATCTTAAGTTTAAAAAGTACATTGTGGTGCTACTGAATCTTACAAACACTAGTTTTGACACATTCAAGTAATCTCATACAAAGAACAAAAAAAGTCATGTGCAAAAAAGAATCAGTTCTGAATGCTTTCTAGAGTAAAAGTTTGACTTGAAAAATGGTAAGTCCACGAATGCAACCAATCTGAACCTTTTCCCATTCAATGTGTATTCTTGCTGGTTGCAGCACATAACTTGGAGGGAAAAAAAAATATTTTCTCGAACATATACCATCTTCAAATAATCTGGACACAAGTTACCTCCTGAGGTGCAATACACAGGACTTAAGATCCCACCTGTTGTGGGGCAAAACTAAGGATTCTGTAATCAATCTACCAACTTTAGATGAAATATTGTCATGGCTGGAGAACTGCTAAAGACAATGAAAATAAAATAGAAGCAACAGAAAAGTGGTTTCTCAGGTGACTGCTGAGAACACCCGGAAAGAAAAGAAATCAAATGAGGCAGTACTTGATGAAGCCCACATGGGACGCTCACTGTTAAAAAAAATCAGGTAACGACAAAGGCAGTTTTTGGGACACCTGAATAGACATAAAGATCTTGAACATCTAGCTCTCACTGGAAAAAATGAAGGAAAACGAGGCAGGGGTAGGCCCAGAGCAACCTACTAGGGGAACCTGAACAAAAGGGTGACGCGCAAAGATCAGGGATATGTAGCTTTTTTAAATGATGATTGTCATGGCAATAGCAAACAATTGTCAGATTGGAAAAGTTAACACGCCTGTTGCTTGTTTCATGTCCTCAATATAGCACCGTTTTGTTTCGTATACTAAGCATTCACTTATTAGACATTTTTACTTTTGCTCAAGTCCTAAATCAGTTAGGTAAGCAATGTTTTTTTTTTCGTTAGAGGAAAATTTTTTCAAATAATTTGTGCGAATGTGTTATAATTATGACTGTGACTATATCTAAGACACTTTTAACAGAACTTATCTAAGGTGGTGCAGTACTGAGGACCTTTTATCACCTTGAGTAAGCACAGGTTTTTTGTTCTATTTTAGGAAAAAAAAAATCTATGACTGTAACATGTCAGGTACTCTTAGCAGCAGATCTCACCTGCTGAGGTGCTGTATTGAGGATCTTTTCCTCCCTCGGTTGACCCTGAACCCTGTCAGTGGAGGAGGAGACCTCAGCCAGAGGCACCGTCCCTGTCAACACGTGATTGGAGGCCGGAGCGGCTGCATCTGGTTGTGACTTGACACTTCCGTGCACGTTCACCAAATTTGCAATCGGCTGGTCCAGACTTGGAGGATAGTAAATCGTTTGCTGAGCTGCCGCTCTTTGAAATTGCAAATGTCGGTGTAGTTGTGGGTTGAGTTTGACCACCTGTGTCTCCTCGTCCATTTGTTTTCTAAAATTTTCCAGCATTTTCTTCTCTTTCATCAGGCAACTTTTGCGTTTAGACATGTCCTTGAACTCCTCACTCTCAATAAACTCATTATCGTCATCTGTCATTCTGTCATTTATCTCTGCATCCAAATCTTGTATGTCAGCCTGTAAATTTTCAATGTGCAATTCACATTTTCTCCTCTTCGTTTCAGGATCACTCTCCTGCATCAAACGGGCAACAAACTTGGACTGAGAAACACTAGAGGTAGACACTGAAGAAGAAGAAGAATGAAGAGATGGTCTTCTCTCTTTGACATCGTAGTTGTTTACTGGATGCATATGACTGGGATAGGGTGCCAAAGAAGTGCCACCACCCATGGCTACAGGGTTTCCAGCCAGCTCTGGCGCTAACAACGGCCTTTGCTGACTGGGGTATTCCATATAGCACAAGGACGAACTGCCTACGGTTGGAACAACACCAGGGTAGGGATAACTTAGACGCTCCGAGTTTGGGTGAGGCTGGATCCGAGTCGCAGGATAAAGTGACTGCATCGGGTAGGTATCTGTCTGGGGGTAGCCTTGCATTGGATATGGATATGGTGGCTGAGATTTGGCAGGATCCAAGCGGTTTGCGCCATACAACAGCGGATTATTCGCAGCGTTGCTATTGTTGTTGTTGATCATGTTGAAGTGGCCCTGGGATGGATGAGCTGTCTTGGCACTCTGATTGTGTATTTGTTGTGCAATGTATTCTGGCATTTGTGGGAGCATCTGCTGCATGTTGGGTCCTGTGGCAGCAGAAGTATGAGTGTAAGGCACTCTAGAGGGATACACCAGCCCCTCAAGACCGTACAGGCCAGGCTGCTCACCAGCACCATGAGCTCCCATCAAAACCTGGTGCTGAGGCGGGTACATCTGGTTTGGCTGGGCAGAGAACGGGCCCGGGGGAGTGTGGCCGAGCACGTTCCCACCGACCACAGGTGAAGCATAGTGGCTTGAGGGGTACGGCGCCTCAGAGCGGAACTGACCGGCCATCTGACGACCACCAACATAACCAGGGAGCTGAGGGGTTGGGGTGTGGGGTCGGGACTGCTGGTGCAAGTGCTGCTGGTAGTCTAGAAGCTGGTGGTCACTTGGACCTGGATACAAGTCATTCCTATGAGTGGGATGAGAAGGGAAAATATATTAACTTGAATGAAACAGTTTCTGTAATTTCATAATATCGACACAACATGCATTTTTTAAAACTACAGAAAACCTATTTGTACAAAATAATAATAATAATAATAATAGATAGCATTTGTATAGCGCATATCCCCGCTCAACAGCAGGCTCTATGCGCTTTACACTATATTATTACCCCAGCAGACCATAGAACACTCCGAAACATTCTCAGCTTCCCGGGAAGCATACAGTGCGAGCAGCCGATTAAGCGCTCAAACACTAACAAACTGACAAGATCTTTCGCTGTCTATAGCCGGGTACCCATTCCCACCTGGGTGAAGTGAGGAAAATTCGTGTAAAGTGCCTTTCCCAAGGACACAACGTCGGGCCCTTGACGGGATTCGAACCCACGACCTTACGGTTGCGAGTCCGAGAGCCTAACCACTAGGCCACCGACGCCACAAATCGATCTACAGTGCAGCCTCTCTTAACGACGTCGTCGGGACCAGAAAAAAATGTCACTATAGAGAGTTGTCGTTATAGAGAGGTAAAACCAAAAATATTACAAATGATATATGAGGAAAGAATCGGGACGTGGGCACCATTGCCATACAGAGAATGTTGTTATTTCGAAGATCGTTGGAGAGGTTGCACTGTGCCTGAAACTCTCTGATCATAGAGTAATGTTCGTTAGTTTTCATTTTCTGTCAGTACAATGTGAAATTAAAGTAAATGTAACAGGGTTAATCAACTTGGAATGTGATTTCAACTTTGAACATTTTCAAACATTCAAAACGGAGTGACACACTGCACCAACAAATACATAAGCGATTTTTAAGTCTCTCATTCTGTTAGCAGCTCGTTTCATTTAGAAGAAATCTCATGTACCCTGCAGCTATTTGGTCAGGAATCATCGTATTTGCCTGATAGTCCGCATCAGGCTGGGAAGGTGAATCTGAGTTCCTTGGGGACTTGCGAGATGGAACTTTTACCCTAAAAAGAGAAAATTCGACATAGTGATTAGACAGCAAATTCAACTTTTGTTGCAGACAACTGCACGTGGATGTGCAACATAATGTGAGACACAATGCAGTTTATTTCAAATGCACAACACTTGGTGCTTCAAAAGCAAACTTTTGTGTGTTCTCCCATCATTTAAACCAGAAAAGCAGTTTTTGCCTGTTGACAATAAAGTACATATAAGAAACCAGGTACATCTTTAGGGCATAAAAAAATGGCACATGTGAGGCAGCATGGTGAAATCAGGCGCTTGTCAAAATAATGAAAGTAAAGAAACTGAAACTTTTCCGCTGGTTTGACAATTTTTATTGAAATTTTGTTTTTAGGTTCAACGCCTTATATGTTCATTTAAGAACCCAATTATGTTATAAAACATTGATTAAAGGCACAAAAAAAAGTAAATTGTTAGTTTCCATGAACTCTGAGGCTTTGCAAATAACCAAACTTTGGCAGTCATTTTCTCACTAATTTTACCTCTGAAACTAGGCAACCCCCACCTCGTTCTATCACAAATATCTTGACACGTACTCTAGATAAATTGGCAATTCTTTCATCGAAAGCAAAGCAAATGAACAAGCTTTAAGGCAATACCAATAACTTCACATGCCCAAAACCTAACGAGCGCCTGATTCCACCGCGTCGTGACTCATATAATAATACAGGAGCAAAGAGTGCATGTCTCTCACCTCTGTGGCCCTTGCTTGTCCTGTGCAGAAACGCCGTAGGCCCCGTCAATGAGAACACCAGAGCCATCCCCGTCAAGCGTAAAGCTGGACACCGTGCTGATCTGTTGGATCTTGTGCCCTCGTCGGTGGGGGTGCTGATGCCACCGAACGTTGCAGCCGTCACACAACGTTTTTCGCTGACACTCCACACAGAAAGCAACAGCATCGTCTCCACATACATCACAGACTGAAGGTGAGAACCCCCCCAAAAAAGTTATTGTTAATGTTTAACACCTTTTGGTAGGAACCCAACAAATGTTATTGAGAATGTTTAACAGATTTTGGTGGGAATCCCCCCAAAAAAGTTATTGTAAATGTTCAACGAGGTTATTTTTTGCAAACCCATCAACACAATATAGATCAATAAGAGGAATGGCTTCTTCGACCCTATCTTTCACAACTAATCCAGGCTCACTGGGACAGAGCATCCTAGCAAACACAAATCAGATGTCATAACTTCCCTATATTATGAGAATTGACATAAGAAGCATCATAAATTATAAACAACAGTATATGCTAGGAGTCATTTTTCAGTAGATACAGAGTCACCCTAACAGCTATAAGTCTATGAGTTCCAGTAGCAGAGGATAAAGCATAGTATACTTATAACTAAGTGCTTTCCCCAGTTCTCCAGAATAAAAAAGTAAAATAAAAAGACTGCAGTTTTGTACTCGCTACTTAGTACGGACTAAATAATTATGTAGAAATAGCGGAGCAGGAACAGGGAAGGGCAATAATAGCATAAGTGAGACAAGGTGTCTTCCTCATTCGAGAAAAACAGTAACATATGAGTAGCACAGAACACTGGCTGATGAGATAAGCATCTTACTTCTAGAGTTTCACTCCTTGTTGGAAAGGCAATCAACCATTTAAGTTTGCAGCCACACAGCCAGCAGTACAAAATGGATACCCCATCTGGTCACCCAGCCAGGAGAGTGACTGCAACGGACTTCTCGGACTTGATCGGAACAGGATAATTGTTCAGCGCAAGTGACCGTAAAGCGTTAAAATACCACTTTTTAGGATCCCGTGAAATTTGAATAGCAACAGCGAGGACAGTACATACTTTCAACAATTAATCTGCAACACGTAATACCCAACGCAACATGAACACTGACAATCTTTGTTAAGTTTTCAGTTGGAGTAAACAGAAGCACACCGACACAATATGGTAATTAGCGATGGAAAGAAGGAGCGGGAAGAAAAAAAAGACCTACAAACAACCACAGGATAAGTTTTTTTTTTAAAAAGGAGAAAGAAAAAGTTGGACATACCTAGTTTGGAGATAAAGGAGGAGGAAGATGTATGCTGCCCTCCACTGCTGTTCAACCCAGTAGGCAGGTCTGGACCAGCATCTACAAGATCCTGAATGCACTCAACGACCTCCTCCTGAAGAAACAAGCCAAATGAGAAAGAATTCAGTCACAAAAGGGTGCTTTTGTTCCAGCACAACTTTTACATGTGACAGCCTTACAAAAATAAAGCACAAAATTGATTTTTTCAAAACTGCAAACAAATTCCCAAAAATTAAGTTTCTAACAAAATTAACATTTTGGCCCCCTACCCCTCAATAGCCACACATTCTTTTATCATGAAGTTCTCATCAAATATTCAAGTTTAATCAACATCAAAACTTGACATGTTGCACAGACTTCAGAAATCATAACTTGAACTTTTGCACGGATGGTACATCTCAACTCAGGAAGTTATGCTTGATCTATAGCTGAAACACTACATCCAACGTTTCTCCATTTTCTATTCTAATTTACCGCTACCCTCAAGAAATGCAAAGGCGGGTGTCCATCAGAAGTTTTAAAAGTTCAATGCAACTGATACAAAAAACAGTCAAATCAAAACAGTATTTAATCTTTTAAGTTCACAACTTCAGTTCCTTACTTCAAACATCAAAAAGTAAATCAAGGATGAGTACAAATATAAATTTATGTTTCGACAATAAACATTTTTTTAAAGGAAACGCGTTCATTTGGTTATCATAGCTTTTAGGATATCTTATGGAAAACAGATAAAATCAACAGAAGTTTCACTTTGTATTTGCTAATCAATGACATCACCTTTTAACCCAATCCGTACGCCGCGGGGTCATTTTGTACCCTCGGGGTTGCATTCTTCACGTTTTAGAATACTTCTAGTATGAAAATCTCTTTGAAACTTTCAGTATTTCTCAAAATATCATTTTGACAGACAGCTATGCAAAGCGTACGGATCGGATTAACAAATAAATTTCCTCTTCAGAATGTGGTGGCACAAAGTTCCCCACGTCGTATGGATACGAAGGTAAAACATGACATACAGATAGGGTTAAAAAATTCCCAAAATTACATTTCTATGTTCTTCTTGCACTTTTGCTACTACCACCGAAAGGCATAAAATACTTCAGCAAATCTGGCCATGAAATTTAATTCTTCCAATACTAATTTCTAAAAACACATTAAAAACATCTCAGAATTTTAGTCTCCATCAAGAAGTTTGTCCACCTTGACTGTGGCTTCCATGTTTCGTTGTGAACTTTCATTCAAACAAAAATGAAGATTCGTTCATCCCTCCAAAGAAAACTCATTAAGCTGAGAGAAACAATTCACTATGTGCAGAATTTTTAGAATCACAAAGAGAGCATCAACAGAATGCCAGTCATTCAGTGATGATGATAAAAAGGACTGAGAGATAAAACAACAGTGGAAAAGTAAAGAAAATCTTCAAGTGATGCCTTCTTCCTACCAGCCCATAGCCAAGAAGGAGCAGTACATGACTACAAAGAGAGTGTTACATGCTGGGGGGGGGGTTTTTATGTAGGTGTTTTCATGCCCTTATTGACACAATCTAGATCATTTAGGAGGTGGGTTTCCAACCCTGCCTGTTTGGGCTAATCCGAGCTGGGAGCAGACCTGCCACTCTATGAAATCTAAAAATCAGGATTTTAGAGTTAAAAAATCAGGATCTGGTGAAAAAAATCAGGATAAACGGCAAATCAGTCATAAGGGGTACCGGGGGAAGGGGGGGGGGGGGAAGGGGGGGGGTCCTGGTTCCCTTTTATGAGGCAAGTATGCAAGAGAAAACTTTTGCAGGAATAAGTTCACGTTTGGGCCTCTAAATAGAGGGAAAACTGAAAGACAGCATTACTCGAGTCGGAGTTGGATAGACCGGGGGAGCGCAGGTTGCAGTAAAGCTGAAACTTGAAACTCTCGTAGTCTTGAAAATAGCTGACACATAACTCTAATCACCCATGCAAAAAGCCCGCGTTTTCATATAATATAGCAACAATGTTTGACTTCTATCGCATATATACTCAAGGAACCCCCCCCTCCCCCTGGAAAAAAAGATCGCGCCAAGGTTGTTCATTTCTTTCTTTTTTTTAAAAATTCCTTTATCCTCAATTAGTACATGTATCACGGCACGCACTTTGAGCTCAAGTGTCAAAACAATATCCCCACCCCCTCCCCCCCGGTCGTCCACACTGGTTAAGTCCCGAAAAACACCTCGACCAATACGACCGGTGTGAATGAACTTTGCTGACCCCGACAGTCCCCGACACACGCGCTACTCACACGTACAAGGTCATGTCATGAGATGCGAATGAACGTTTGAAAGCTCCACTGACAGGTCTTGATGATGGGCCTGACTAACCAGAACTCAGACGAAGCTTGCTTTTAAAGCAACGGCAGAACAACGGTTGATTTTAGTTGAAATAACGAGCGTGAGTCCTCTACTAGATTCGGCATAGATGCTTAAGAAAGTAGCGTTCCAAGTTCCTGCCGATAAAAAATCCAACCAGTGCTTTCAACCAAAAGAGATTGCAGAACTTTTAATATTTTTTTCTAAGAATCGGTCGCAACAGACGCAACGACAAAAAATCAGGATACTGTCGATCGAAATCGGGAAAATCGGGATGCTTGAGATTTGAGGCAAAAAATCGGGATATCCCGATTAAATCGGGATGAGTGGCAGGTCTGTGGGAGGGATACGACATCCCAGCAGAAAGATAGAAGTACTGAATAAATATTTCTCCCCATTCGCGAATCAAACTTGGGTCTCCTGCATGCAACAGCGAAGCCCTTAACTACTACACCACAAATGCGGGTGAAGAGAATTATTATACCTCAGTGTTTTCTTGGGCTGTAGACGAAACAACTTCAGTTTTGTCCGGATCCAACAGCACATTGCCCGACATCCCAAAGTTGTCATTCCCTGTTTCTACCACTGATGCCGAGGCCTGTATAGTGTCAACAGAAGAGGACTGCTTGACAGTGGCAGCGCCTCCTTCCAGACTGTTGGCAGGAAGAACATTCTGGACTGGAGGGGGCGGAGCCTTCGGAGGAGAGAGACAGGAGGTAAAGTTAGTTTCCTTTTTGTGAGCCAGCTTACTGCCGAGCCTGCTAAAAGGAAGTGGGTAATCAGCACATGCACATTTGGGGCTAAGAAGGGAGAATAGGGTAACTCTTACGTCAACACGCCTCAGGAACTTTTGAGATAAGCAATGAGAAGATATTCACTCTATGGCAACACATGCTTGGATCTTTTGAGTTAAAAAGTGTGAAGATGTTAACTCTATGTATGTCTACGTGTCTATAAAAACCCATGGCACAGTCATGCACACACATCTTTTCATAGCATTTTCATAGAATTCTTATGCCTTCAGAACTTACCTATAGCCGATTATAATATTTCAAAACAAATGTCATTATCTCTTATAACCAAATTATTTACGCTGGAACAATATTAAGTCCACACAAGAGTCATAAAATGTCCAGAAAAATACACCATACACTCCACAAAACATTACTTTTTTGTTTAGGATCCCCCTTTTCAAGAAAGCTGCTTACTTCCTAATGTACATAAGCATTGTGTATCTATTTATAAGAAAAGACTTTAATAACCACTAAAAAAAAACAACTGTGCTCAAGCATTGTACCTGAGAGTTTATTTCCCTGAAGACAATTTATAGGAAAAGTTCCTAATTTTGCCATTTATGTACGAAGCCAGACCACAAGAATAGCTTCGAAGAAATTCTGCATTCATGAAAGCCACATGTAGGTATTAAGGAGAATAAATCGACCCAAGAAAGGACAACTTGATGAAAGCCCAATTCATTAGATTTATAAAGCTCTGTGCAGCCATCTACATTAATCTTCTGATGAGCAAAACAGGAAAATACTCCAACAACAGTGGAAACCCATAGAGTTAACATCTTCACAGACAAGACTGCTCTCATTTATAAGCAGCTGGATTTGATTCTACAGACAATTTGGGTAATGACGGTTCAATAATTATTTATTCTTAGCAGCAGATTAACGAAAAAAAAATTGTTAAAACAAACACACAACCAAGACTCATGAGAAAAACTTTTCATGAGGTAGGCAACAGCCTTTCAGAGGGATTGTAAGACAACAGATTTCGGTCAATCTAGATTCAGGAATTGGAGTACTTAGCCCGGCAGGAATACATGTATGTGACAGAGGAGAGAAAGAGAAATATGCAGTGGTAAAGCTACTATGTTGACATTGTGACACAAAGGGAAGAGGAAACATATCATACCGGTCTCAAAGGCCTGCGATACGTATCTTGTCTCGTGGGAGGAAATAATGACATGTCCATTCCTTCCTCCTCATCACACTGCTGTCCGGATAGCTTGAAGGCTAATAACTCATCTCTGCAGAGAGAGGATTCAATATAATTTTACAACTATTAGAAAATAGACGCAATAGACAAAAATTAACAGCACCTTTGAGTATTTGGTCCCTTCCTGGTCTGACCATTTCTCTTGGCCCTCTTTGCAGTAATTTCAAGTCAGACCAATGAAAGTAGCAACAGCATTGATAATATGTCTGGTACTCAAACCAATGTTGGCTGCACATCAAAAGCAGAAAACAGAAAAAAAGTATAATGACGATTTTCCAGTCAAATATGACTTTAGAAACTTACATGGTTAGCATCTTCCACCAAGCATTCAGTCAAAGTTGTTCAAGAAGGCCACCCATTGTCGAGAAGAAAGGTGGTCTTAAATGTACGTCTCGTACAATGTCATTATCAAATAGAAAAAAACACAAGTTTGTACAGGTCACCGTCTTGGACACGTGGCTGTTAGAGCAGGTTCAACTGTACTTTGAAGAAATCAAAAAGATATGCCTGCGTAATCTAAACAAATCCTACTCATTTTTAAAAAAACCAGCTTCGACTTCACTTACTTTGTGTTCTGTGTTAACAAGCTGTCAATGTAATCGTGGTGAGGGTGGTTGCCCTGAATATAGATCCCCAACTCCTTCCGGAACAGGATGATGTCTGCGATAATGTTATGGACCTGTCTGACGTCAGGTTCGCAGCCATCTGGAAAGCGCAGCCCGTGCTGGTGAGGCTCTGTGTATCCCAGCTGCTCTAATACTGCCTCAAAACCCTACACAACAGAAAGCTCCAGTGTCAGAATAAGATAAGACAAGGAAATATTAATTTATCCTTTATCACAAGACATCAACACTTTGCTGTTTGTAAGCTTAAGTATTATCTACTTCATAATGTAAGCGCTCTTTAAAAATTTGCTCTATGTTAGATGTTAAGGAGGCCTGAAAATTGCAACATACTGCAAGGAAACAGAAAAAAAAAAAGGTACTCTTTTTTACAGTAGAGGGTTTAACGGCGCTCGCAACTGCATTAGGTCATATGAGCGCCAAGGGGTGGGTGTCAACAGAGAAGTCTTTACAGGGAATCAGACTTAGACTGCTCACCTCTCTAGCTTCAACAGCACAAGGTCTGCTTCGACTATCAAGGCACCCCGGAAATAGCAGGTCACAAGTGTGACAAACATACAAAAGAAGTAGAGGAAAATGACAATAATAAGGATGAGGAAAGAAAAAGCAGCAGTTCCCTGTTGTAGATCAGGCACAGTAATGAGCGTGACATAAGTCAGCCCATTTACAATTCTACTATGCTTGAACAACAAATGTCCCCCCCTTTGGGAATGGCCTAAAGACACTACAGTCAGTGGCACTGCCCCGCGGGGAAAAATGTACTGCAAGGAAGCAGTAAAAACAAACCACAACAAAGCAAAGCACCTGTCAACCACACGAAAAGGATATGTCAGAGACAGGAAACGATTAACAACAAAACAAACTCTGAACAGGAAGCAGAAGTCAAATTCATAAGAAGGAGGAAGTTATTATCAAAATATCAGAAATGAAGTACACCACAAAAAGCATGACTTGGAAAAAAAAGGACGAACATGTTTTTTGTATTTGTTTTTAAACATGAAAAGTCCACAGGTTCAATATCTTCTGATCAATGAACTAAACAAGTCGAAACAACTTTAAAATTATATTAACAAGAACTTATATAACAGAGAAAAGAAACTGAAAAGGCAGGGGGGGTTTGAAAATTTTGTATATTTCACTACCTTCATGGGTTTTATTTTGCTTTCCACGTGGACGTTTGTGAAACGAATCTCCCGCCACTGCTGGCTCCTCTCGGGCAACGCCTTGGTCAAATGTCTGGCATATTTCAGGATAAAACCAAGGGCTTGCTGGACATGCTGGAGGCCCTGCATCCCCTTCATGGAATAAACATATTTTATTATTATTATAATAATAATAATAATAATAATCATTATCATTATTATTATTAATATTATTATAAATATAATAATAATGGTAATGATGATAATAATAATAGTAATATAATGATGATGATGGTGATAAAGAATAAATTAATAATAAAATAGAGGGAAAAAACACATCACCTACATGATTGATAGTTTTTATTAGACTAAGCAGAATTTAGTCCCGTCTTTCTTGAGTGAAAATCTGTCATAATCGTACGAGGGTATTTTGGGGTCTTCCATCCATTTTATTTATTACCGAAGGACACAACACAGAAACTAAAACTAGTACATTAACTAACAGCACAAGAGCAGCCTTTATATGGAATGACAAGACATTAACTCTTTATCTACGGCAGCCGCGCTTGCGGTCGGAACCCCAGTGCCGGTGAGCTGCTGACAGTGGCCCGGGCGCATTCCTTTACAACGACTTTGACATCAAATTACTTTTCGGCAATTGCCAAAAACAGGTCTCTATTTCCGGGAGTTCATTTATTAGATGAAGAACTATCAAAATTGGATCACTCGTTTTGATTTAATTATCCATTTTGTGACATTTTTTACATTTTTAGATTTAGTACCAAAGAAGGGGACTGGCATAGTGGGTTTACCCCCTATGGAGATAAAGAGTTAAAATTAAAGACTGAATACGTATATATACAAAACAAACAAAAACTCACTTGATACAGATTCAATGACCAATACTTTTTTTAAAAAGAAAAACCCAAAAACAGAAAACTGGCAGACCAATATTTTCTTTTCTGGTGTTCTAGATTCTTAAGCAATTAAGGCTGAAAGCTAAATAAAACTTAAAACTTTTTCTAGAGGGATACCCCAAGATTTTCAGAAAAATTAAGAACACCTCGCACCTCATCATTCCACTTAAGCAGCTGCTTCACATCCAGAATGGCATATTTGTCATTCAACTGATAGTCCTGTAAAATCAGTTCTTCCATGACGTCTGCAGGGTCCTGTCCAGTCCGAATGAGCTCAACAATTTCGGCACGGACGTCCTCTAGAGGACGATCCTCATCCGTGCTGTCCTGACTTAATTGCTGCATCATGGTCTTCCAAACAAATCCAAAAGCTTTCTTGACAGACTGTGACATGTGTTCCAGCTGGGACAACTGAAGACAAAAAGCAAAACTGACAGTAAAAGCTGTAGCTTTTTTTCACAAACTGTCAAAGCAACTGATAAATTTGCAGTCAAGCATGGATAACTCAAACAAATTGGGACATCATATGATACGATTTTGTCCTAATTTTAATATTATTATTATAGTAGAGGGGGGTTTTTTTGTTGTTGTTTTTTTATAGTAGAGGGTTTTACGGCGCTCACAACTGCATAAGGTCATATGAGCGCCAAGGGGTGGGTGTCAACAGAGAAGTCTTTACAGGGAATCAGACTTACACTGCTCACCTCTCTAGCTTCAACAGCATAAGGTCTGCTTCCACTATCAAGGCACCCCAAAATAGCAGGTCACAAGGGAGTGACAAACATAAAAGAAGTAGAGGAAATTGACAATAGTAAGGATCAGGGAAGAAAAAGCAGCAGTTCCCTGTTGTAGATCAGGCACAGTTATGAGCGTGACATGAGTCAGCCCATCTACAATTCTACTATGCTTTAACGAGATATGTCCCCCTATTGGGAATGGCCTAAAGACACTACAGTCAGTAGCACTGCCCCAGGGGAACTAATTTTAATAAAATGATAATCGAATTGAAAATGCAAACTACATTTTGCTACAATACAATTGAAATTAAATCACACTACATTATAATGCTCTGATTAAATTGAAAAAGCAAGTTTTCTTGAATCACACTGCATGCAAACTCAGACAGTGATCAATTGAACACAGAGAACTCCCAAAATACTCGGACTAAACTGTCCAAGGTAGTCTAAGTTCAAGTTAATGCCACACATGGCAAGCTATATATATTCAAATTAGCGCAACATGAACAAGGAACTAATTGTGGCAGCACAAATCCTCTTTTGCACATTGTTGCAGAGGATTTTAACTGATATAAAAAGTAATTACAATATAACGTACAAAAAAACATGATAATAGATCAGTGTGAACAACAAAGTGTAATTAAATCTGAAAATTTGTGATTTTCATCAACGATGAGATAAGAGATTTTCTTCTTCTCTTTCTGTCATTGTGCATCGAAAAACAACAAGCCAGACGACATCATTCATCATTCCAACATAATAGTTGGGAATTCAAGAAGAGATTATAATCATTTTATCTATCATTTTTGCAACAACAGCCACAAAATAGAACACAGAGGTTACATTTCTTAAAATACATGCAGTCATATGGGCAAACACTGAGCCAAAGCCTTTTTTTCACAGTTTTCCTCAAACAATATGACCCATTACCTTGTGATCATCCACTCATTGAACTCATGGTAACTTATTAAGGTCAATGATTACTTGTCAAAACAATAAAAGATCACTAGTAAAAAATTGTCTTTGAAGAGAGGTTGATTTTCAGTTACTGTTTTAGTATTTTTTATATTATTTTTACTGCAGTTGTTTTTCCTATTGTTGACAGAGCACACTGTCAACTGTATTTGTTCAAATTGAGTCAGGGCCAGCCAGATTTTTTTTCATGGAGGAGCAATACCTCTTCGATCATGATCTTCAAAAACAAACGTGTGTACTCTTCCAAGTTGTGAGTCGAATGATCAGATGTGTACAGTGTGTATGCAGATGCAGTAATGGACAGTGTAGATTTTGAGAGGCTGATAAATTAATAGATCTAGAAAGATTGACAGATAATTCCTATGTGTGTAGGATTCAAGACTTTTCAACACAACAACCGCAATGCTGCTGTTGGAACTTGAAGCCACTATGGAAAGAAACGGCAGTGTCGTGAATGGTTTGTTTTGTGAATAATTAATAACGTTGCACATTGGTCGAAGTTTTCAATTGCTCGACAAATTTGACACATGGGAAGGGTCTACTCGTAGGTGTGCACTTGACTTAGACCACCATAATCAACCCAAACTGACCCAAACTCATCTACAATAGGCACCCGGTATTAACAGATGACTTTTCATTTTGTTTCAGCACCGATGCTGTAGATAATAATATCATGATGCTATGACACAATAACCACAATACAGACAATTAAGACGAACTAGTGGGTGGCTCAATACAATAACAAGCTTTAAAAACAATCTTCCCCATGAGTGTTGCACAGAGAACAATTAAATTGAACTAGGTCAATATTATTGTAACTAAAATCTCCATCCTTTACTTTTTGTAGAATGAGACACTGCTAGTTTTTTGCTCACCAGTCACCAGCACTCTGCAAGACAATTTATGTGAGGCATCCTGGTGAAATCAAGCGCTTGTCAAAAAAATGAAATCGAAGATATTTGCATTTTTGCTTCAGTTTGACAATTTTTTTCTAAATTTTGTTTTTTGGCTCAACACCTTTAATGTCCATTCAAAAACATATTTCTGTGTGAATTTTACTGAAAAACATTGATTAAAGTCACAACAAATGTTAATTTTCAGTTTCCAAGGACTCTCAAGCTTAAGAAATCCCCAAACTGTGGCGGCCATTTTGTCGCTAATTTTAACTCTGAAACAAGGCGACCCCAACCTCCTTCAATCGCAAATATCTCGACTTTTTTTTCAAAATAGGCGTGCATTTTTTGTTATCAAAATATTGTCAAATGAACAAGCTTCAAGATGATACCACAATAACTCACGATGCCCAAAAATTGACGAGCGCCCAATTCTACCGCGTGGTGAAATGAAAAGCAAAGGCCATCTCCAGATCCAACTCTTAAAGTTTACTTAACCAAAGATGCTGCAGCACTCGGAGTGCAAGGACGACAAGCATGGCATTGCCAACTCTACGCTGTCGACAATCATCATTATCTCAGCCCCATTAACATCTTTGAGTCCAAAACACGCCAGACCCCATGGTACTTTCAAATAGAAGCCTAGTGTGTGTGCTCCAGACAAACAGGGAATTTTACGTAAGGTAGAATGAGTTATTTATCTTTTTATTTTTACTTTTTGTGTAAGTGTTTTACAGCGCTTGCAACTGCATAAAAAGTCATATGACATGAGCGCACGGGACACATTAAACATTTTTAGCTGATAGGACGGCCGAACCCTACTATTCTTATCGATTTTGGACCACCAAGGGATCTTTAACGTGCGCAACTTGCACACGCGACCTCCGAGTTGCACCCGGGAACTCTCAGGTTTTTCACCCTTGTCAGAGAAGGCGGTGTAAATCTTACCTACCATAAGATCAGGGGTGTGGCTGAAAGACAGAGAAGTAAGAAGGAGCCAAGGAGTAGCAGAAGAAAGACTGCACAAATAGTCAGGAGCCTAGAGGAGGGGGCAGAAAGTGGAGATGAAAGTAGACGACAGATCATTGCTAGAGAGCAGAAAAGGATGTGAATGAGAGGTGAACAACATAACCTCTAGCCCATGAGAGGCCCCTGGAAAGAATACTTTTTAAAATCTTAAACGAAGTGGCTAGCCATACTTAAGGTACGGCAAGCCTGACAGTCTAGCCGTCCTTAGATCTAGGTTAGGCCCTATTGACCGAAACCTGTTGAGTACACAGGTCTCAAAGATCTAGTAATTATTCAGGTTTAAAATACATGCATGTCAGAAAGGCACCTTTTGGTTTCATCTGAAATACTATATCTTTAAGTATTCAAACTGAAATTTTATTTACAATTCAGCCATCACTATTAAGTACGGCTAGCCTGCCAGTCTAGCCGTACTTATTTTAGGTCGTATTAGAAACCTGTTGAGTACATAGGTCTCGAATGAGTAATTATTCAGATTTAAAACGCACGCACCGTCAGTAAGGCACCTATTGGTTTCGTTTAAAATTACAAATATTTTAGGTATTATTGCAAACTAAAAATTTATTTACAATTCAGAAGGCAGATTTTTTGCTGTTTGTCAGTCCAGCCATCATGTAAGTATGGCTAGCCTGCCAGTCTAGCCGTACTTAAGTACGGTTAGCCTAGCAGTCTAGCCGTCATTAAGTACAGCTAGCCTCTTCCAATCTTAAAACATAATTATTTTGCAACCTCATTCAAAGTCAAAGTCAAACAAAGTTGTCAAAGGCTCGTTTACTCACAAAATGATTTTCTGATTTCATTTTTACTAAGTTTATTTTGGGTAAATTTTTACTTTCACTTCCGCACACAGATGCACTGCTTCGGGGGTCAAACTGCAGTACTGTTTGCTGCAGATCACACATAAAGCAACTAAAACTGTCGCAAACCAATTATTTTCAAAAAAATTTCAAACCTAAACTGTAAAATATCAAATTATGGGTAACCCCCCAGATTTTCTTTTGCTCCAGGCCCCCCTGGAACCCCCCCCCCCCCCCCCCCCCGATTGGTCCAAAGCATGCGAATTACTACACGGTTAGGCATCTAGTGTGAAATAGCTCAATTAAGACTATCAGATATATATTTTAAAAACTTAATAATTTGCGACGGAAATGAAGTTGATATTCGTGTTTAGCGCATCAATATAATTTCGAAGTGACTATTTCTCCAAACGCTCTGGAAAACAGACTTCTTGATCTCTATTTCTCCAGACAGTTTCCGTTCTCGAGATTTACGCGTCATCTTTCATTCTGCCATTCTGAGGACTGGGAAGAAGCATTATTTCCATCGAATTCAATTTCTAGAGCTACATCTAGAGATTGTTAAATGTCTGAATATTCAGATACTTCGGTTGTGGTTGGGGCAACGTTTCCGGACTATATCGGAGTGTCTACGTACACATTACCGGGCACCTTGCCTCAGTGTCTACATACATAGTAACCGGGCACCTAGCTTCTGTGTCTACGTACACGGTAACTGGCAACCGGGCACGTAGTCTCAGTGTCACGTACACAGTAACCGAGCACGTAGCCTCAATATCTACGTACCCGGTAACCGGCAACCGGTAGTCTCAGTGTCACGTACAGGATAACCGGACAGTTCAGAACTCCAAGTTCAGTTTTTGTCATCCGGTGTTGCCTTCATCCCCACCCCTCCCCCGACTGTACATTTTTTTAAAAATCAATAATTCCCCCATTCCGGAGCCCTATACTTCCTATACTTCGCAGTGCACAGACTTTGA